ATGGGTATCATTCTGCACACAATAGTCACATTTCCTCACATTAATACCAAGGTCCTTTTTATGTCTCGAGGCACAATGCTGACCCACGCGTTCCATCTGATAACTCCTGTTTTAGCAGTTTGATGTCAGCGTGGGATGTTGGGCTCCCGAAGCTTCCTATAATCTAATGGAAAGTGGATACACCGATTGTGTGGCGGGTTGGGGCGGGGGGGTAGGGGGAGACGGCCTCTTTCCAAATTTCCTGATTCAAAGCAGAGCTGACGAAGCCAAGGGATGTGCGGGGAGGGGGGGAGGGTGTTGGGTAGTGTGGGTGGTTCTGTACAAAGGTATCACATTCTCCCTTTTAGGTGCTTCACCTTGGGTTTGCTTTGGAGCAGCTTCCCCTGGGACTTTCAGTGTCCTGCCCCCCTTGTTGGCATGGAAAAAATGCACGTTTTTCCCCTGCCCCAAACTTAATGACAAAACCTATTGCAGAAACTTGCAGCTAGTTCCTTACTCCCACCTGCCTTTAATCTGGTCGTTGGTTTAAGCAGCCTAAAATCAGCTGGATTCATCCTTTCTGCCGCAGCTCAGCCCACTGCCCTGTTGTGGGAATGTGGGATAGTTGGGGCACAATTATTTATCTAGCAGTATTTAACCAAAATTCCCCAAGTCTGATGGAGATGAGTCCAGACTCAGCACAGCCGTGGCAGGACATCAAAGCAAAGGATCCCCTTGAGATCCTGCTTGTGCAATCCCTCACTGCCAGTGATGAGTTAGAGATATTGGCACTGCTCTGAACAAGCTCTTGTCATGCCATGTGCTGATGTGGTTTTATTTGGGTTTTGTTTTGTTTGTTTTTTTTTAAGGCAACAGAATCTAAAAGCAGAACAGTTTTTGCTGCTTGCAGTGTGGTTCAGCACAAGTGGTTGAGGCTTAGATTTGCTCAGACAGCTGAAGAAAGCTCAGATAAAATGCTTTTTTTACAATAAAAGAACCCCAAACCTTAAATGCTTGCACTTACAGCAGATCCTTGATAATTCTCTGAGAAAACCATGGAAGTTTTAATGTTAGTATTCTGCTCTGATTTACCTGTTTACCATGCAGATGCACTGGGGAGTGCATATAGATCTAAAATAAAATGCACTGACACCTGCACAGCCAAAAGGTTCCTGATCTCCGACTTCCACTCCTTTATCCCACAGAAAAATGTGATCTTAAGATGCTGTGGCCATCCAGTGGTGTCCTTGCTCCAAAGACTTTTGGTTCTCGGGTGTTAAGGGCAGCACTGGGGACCTGTACAAGGGAAGGGATGGAAAAGGGAACTTAAGTGAAAAAAGATCTCTTAAGGCAGAAGGTGAAAAGCTTAAACTTTGGCATATGACTTTCATGGGTTCGTTTTCAGGGTTGTCTTTGCATAGATGCCATTACCTAAATGGGGCAGAGGGGAAGCAAGTAGGGGATCTCATTTCTCTGGGTCGTTATCAGGGATGTTATGTAAAGGGCAGCTGGGATGAAATGGCTTTGGAGTATAACAAATAAATTTTCTGCTGCATTTCTTGCTTCCAAGCATTACATCTCCTTATTCATGTCGAAGCTGGATGGGTCCTGTTCTTCTGCAAATGGTGGGAAATAAAAAAAAAAAAAAAAAAAAAATGTGGCAGGGCTCTGAATGTGCTGACACGAGGCAACAAGTGTAACTCTAATGTTGGTCGTTCATCAGTGTCGCTAAAACTGAAGCGAACTCCCAGCGAGTCGCCTGTAGTCGGTGATGCTGTGTGCGTGTGTGCGTGCATCCTAAAAATTGGGGATGTGCGTGTCGCCTTGATGTGGCTGCCAGGGGATGTTGGAGATGCGTTGTCAACTGCCTTGGTTTTCCCCTGGGCAGAACCTGGAGCGCAGCCTAACAGATAAGGTCAACCACCCCTGGCAGCTCTCCTTTAAGTATCTACATGTGAGGATAGAGACAATAATGCCTGTAGCTAGCGAGCTCACTGAAAATAAACTTTTGTAGTCTGCTTTGCCCAGAAAGGAGGTCCACAAAAACAGAAATGAAAATTTTATGTGACCTCTTCTTCCATTTAAGTATGCTTAATCCTGATATTCAGGTGTGAAATCTAATTCTTATTCCGGGTAGTGGGATATAACTCATTGATGGATAGCTTCTTCCTTGTCAGTAGAGGGTGAATCCACAGTTTTCTGTATACATTTTGTCCCCAGGAAGGGCTCCTCCGTGGAGATGCAAGGGTCAGGGGTGTTGCACCCTTTCATCTCCCCCATAACTGCAGAGAAGCAGTGGTAGTGCCTTGAAGGAGGAGAAACAGGAGAAGTTCAGACTGTACATGAGGAAAGAAAAATTGAGAGAAAGAATGGTTAGAGAGTGGAACAGGCTGCCCAGGGAGGGGGGAGTCCCCATCCCTGGGGGGGTTTCAGGGCCATTGGGATGAGCTGTGGGGGATGTGGGGTCGGGGAGAACTTTGCAGAGTCGGGCTGAGGGTTGGACTCGGTGGTCCCGAGGGGCTTTTCCAACCTGAGTGATTCTCTGATTCTGAAAATGGGTGGCAGGCTGGTGGTGGCTGGTTTTGGGCTTTAGCAAAGCGATCTCCCGATGGATGTGTCATGGGTGACCTCATGCAGTGTTTTATCCCACACTGCCTAGTGGATTTCTTCGTAGTAAGTGGGTTGTTTATAAACCAGGTGGAAGAGCACTTGGGAACACAATTTTTCCCCTGTTTGTTCATGTTCCAGTGGATTTGCTGCTATCCCTAAGTAACGTTATAGCGCTTCAGTGGGCCTTTAAGACAACAGCCTGGAACTTGGATGGCCACATCCAGCTATCTCCTTTCTCTGGATCCAGTCTGAATGGTGTGTTGCTTGGATGACGTGATGAATGAGGCTCTGGGCCTTCTGAAGCATCACCTCTGTCCCCACAGCAGCTTTTCTGAGAAGTTGGAAAGATTCTGGTCCAACAGATGTAATTAGATGTTTTTGCTTGTGTTGATAAAACAGCACTCGGTGCTCCTCTGAGCTGAGTACCTAAGAGAGCTGTCAGCAGAGAAGATTGATACACACTTGAAACTGATAAGAGAAACAAAGCATTGCTGTGTGATAGGACAACATGAATTTCTGTTGCGTTTGCATACATCCGTAAGGACAAACTGCAGATGTGCAGATATCTCTTTTTTTTTTTTTTTTTTTTTTAAAACACATGCTTGCTATTGTTTGGGGTTGTGGGTATTTTTTGTCTCTCTAGAACTATTTCTTGCAAGAGCAGTAAAACCAAAACATGTTTTCTTCTCAATGAATATTTATGGCTTCCAGATCTTCCAGCATACTTTTGCATGTGTAATTAGACTGTAAATTGAGTAAGTGAACGTTGGAGAACTACAAATGTGAGAGCCTGGGGAAAATGCTTGATGTTTCTGGTTTATTTGGGTGCTTGCTTTTTAATAATAAATAGCATTTTATAGATGAAACAGCTTGTGTTTTCCAAAAGATGTGTCAAAAGCAGTAATAATTGGGGCTGTTTCACCAGAAGACTTGTCTAGTTAAGTGAATGCTTTTAATCACATGTGCACACCCAGGTGAACTTTGGGAGAAGTTGGGTGATGTAACCAAAGCCTTTGAATGCTCTTATTTTGTTCAGTGGGAGATGAAGGCAATCCTTTTCCTCTTCTCTACCGCAGGCAACTCCGTTCCCAGTCTGAGTTGCAGCCTTTTAACCCCACTGTAGACATGACTCAAATTCCTGTTTGATCAGGGATGGTTTTGGTTAAATCAGCTTTCTGTGTGCAAAAAAATAATCGCTGCTTTGGAGTTCTGGTGTGTTTGTGCGAGTTGCATCCTCAGTCAACTTATTTTTTTGGAGAGTAGTAGGACTGGGCTTTGAAGGTGCCAGTGCGTGTGGTCAGCCTGTGAAATGGGATGGGGTGGTTCATATAGGTTAGGATTTGGACATCTAGATCTGTAAAGGAAGCAAAACCCTTATCTGAACAGCTGTAACTCTGTGTTAAATCTCTGTACTTTTCCACAGCTTGCCCTCTGGAAAAGTTTTTGGTGTCTAGTGGGTTTTTTCCATGCTGTCACTACACTCATTTAAATGAAAACTGTTCATGTGGTTCAGTCTTGTGGGTTTTTTGGAGAGTGTGAAGATGAAGACTTAAGGAGAAGGGTGCAGAAACAGTACCTGTGGTACCAGTGATGCTACAGAGAAGCTGCCTTGTATGCAAGCAGTATGGAATGGGCTTGTGGCAAAAACAACCGGGTTTTATTTGTTTAGCTTATACTCCAAAAATTGCTTCATAGATACTGAAAGAAAATGTCAATGTTGGTGCTTGGAAGTTTGAACTGGGAAATTCCCGGGTACCCCATCCCTGTATCTTAGCAGCATATTAAGTGACATTTAATAGTCTCTAAACAGCAGTTTTCTTTCCCAAGAGCTCTGTTGCTTTACACTGAGATTTATGGAGGCAGTGTGATGAGTTGACAGGACATTAATGTGCTCATCTTCAAGTCACTGTGTGTGATCTCTCAGCCTGCTCCCTTGGAAGTGCCTGGGTGCTATTGTTGACTCTTAACGAGGACAAGAATGGTTTCCAAACGAGTATGACTCATGCAATCTTAGCCTCAATCTATCAAACAACATTGGATTAAATGATTACCTAAAGGATTAGGAGTTAGATATTTTTTGGAGGGGAGGCAGGGGGTGGGGAGAGAAGTGAAGAGTAAAAATACATAAGGAATCTGGGAAAAAAAAAACCCAACAAAAACAAACAAACAAAAAAATACCAAAAAAACAACAAACTGATCAGATAATGCCAAAGGCTGCTTCTGCACTTGGTTCACATTTCCAAAATGGGAAATGTTGTAAAAATTGAATTTCTGCTTTTCTCTAGAGATCATCCTCTGCCAAAAGAGTGATACTTCACCTTATTCTGAGCCTTCTGCTTGGATTCCTACTGCCTGTCAGGTATCTGCGATAGTAACGCTTACCTGATTTTATCTTTTTTTCCTCTTTTCAGCTGAAAGTGAAAGTGCTGGCTGCGTGTTACTGCACACATCAAGGAAGGTAAGTAGGGATGCTGTGTGATCAGTTTGTTTTTTTTTTCTCATGATCCAGAAGCACAGAAAACACTCTGTGGGGGTGGGGAGATGTGTGTTTGCTGTCTAAGCAGAAGGCGTATTAATGCCTCTTCCCTTGAATTCCTCTGTCTTGAAACCTAAAAAGCCATATGCTGCTCGTTCTCCAAACGATTTCTCTGTACTTCTGATTGTTCTGCTGCTTTTTGTCCCAGACAATTCCTTGACATGTTAATTCATCACTTTCTCTTCTGCAGCTGCCTGCAAAGGGATCCAAGCATGCACCATAGAGATTCAGGCTGCTGAGCTCCTCTCGAGCTGAAAGCAGAAACACCCAATAGACATTGCTGTGACTTGGTTTCCTGTTTATTCCAGCTAATCAGAGCTGCCTTCTTGAGGTTCAGCAGGAGTGGATTCCCTGGAAACGTGCAGTCTAGGAGGACAATTAGGAAACAACGCTTAGTTTACTCTCGCTCTCGAGACCACAACTCAATACCGAGCTGAAAATGCAGAAAAACCCTCCTACAGGCTGTGTTATTACAAACCTCTGACTACACAAGTACACAGAAAGTATGCAGAGAGGAAATGGGTTGATATTTAATACCACATGATGAAGTCTTGGTCTTTGGGGCTGTGAGACGTGGCTCGCGGTGCTTTGAGCTGTCTTGATTCTTGTCTTGTCTGCCGGTTGGAGGGGCTGGCTGGCTGTGTGAAAACTTGTAGTGTTGCTGATCCTGGTAGATCAGATATTGCAGGCTTCGTTGAAGGTTGTAACTTGGCTTCTTAAATCTGTGTACCAAAGCCTTGGGGGATTTTTAGGGAATCTGAGAGAGCTCTTGAATTCTGTGAGGCTTTTAAAACAGCTCAAACCCTGAAAAGGAATTTCAGCAGGCTGAATTAGTAGGGGGAGGAAAATGTATAATAGCTTTAGTAGAAGAAACCTTTCCCCCAAGTTTAAAAAAAACAACAAAAACCAAACACAACACAACCCACCACCACACCAAAAAAAAAACCCAAAACAACAAAACAAACAAACAAAACCCCTAAATGTTGTTTGATATTAAGTCATAAAAGTTAAAAAATAAGCTATCCTGTGCTCTCAATGGAAATGTCTTTGTCAGTAATTTGTCTTGTCTAATACTAGTGCCAAGGTTCTCTGAGTTGTATACACTTGACTGAAAGTAACCTAAGAACATAATCACTTCAAGTTCTAAGCCTAAATGCAGGATCTGCCTCTGATAAGAAATAGTTGGAGACTGCTAACGCATAAATGTCTCTTCTATTTTATTTTTCCTTTTCAGAGCTGTAGGATTCCTGCTTTTCTGGCCTATAGTTCATGCTTAAGCATTTTAGTGTGCTGTTGAGCAACAAATACAAGAGAGCTAGCATGCTTGAGTAGGGCTTGAAGAGTTTCTACTGCCAGTTTTTGCCCCCAGGGAGGACAAGTGGAAGTTTTGTGCTTCAGATACAAAGGAAATGTGGACCTGAGTCATGGAGAAGATGGCTCCAAGTGTCTGGGAGGGGGGAATCCCAAGAAGAGGAGTGGTGAGGTCAGAAGCTTTGTCTGGTGATGTTTTCCTGCTAGGTTGTTCCCATCTCTGGTGGTAGCCTGTGGTTCCTGTGCCCCCTCAGGAGTGCTGGAAGGCCAATTTGTGTCTCAGGCAAGTTGCTGTCTGGACTACACTTTGTAGGCATAAATAAGAAAAAGCTCCTTGACATAGTTGGAACAATTTAATCACCATCAGAGTGTATTTCTGAGGGAATTAGCCCCAGTGACTGTGGCAACAGCACAGGTAGAGCTCTGCTCAGGACAGCATGCTTTTTGGATACCCCTTCATGTAAGGTTCTTGCAGTGTCTATAAGTGGAGGTGGTCTCCAGAGCAGCCACCCAGCAGAGAACTTGCCTTTTGAGACTTCTTGAGTGGTGATAGCTCTTTTCTGCACAGATAATGTGTGCAACTTTGGTTGAGAGACCTGCCTGAAGTTGGGGGAGGCTGTTTCAACATGTTCCCTCTTCTTTGGCACAACAGCCTTTGTTCTGACCACGATGCAATGTGCAGCTCTGCAATCAAGGGTACTCAATGCTATTAAAATGGCTATTGGGTATCTGTCTTGGGTTTCTTGCTAAGCAGTTTCCAGGATCAAGTTTCCAGCATCAAGTATCCTGGTGTGACTTGACTATCTAGCTAAAAATATTTGTGAAGGAGCAATCATCAATCTCCCCTGAAGCCACTGGGTGTGCCGACTGGAACACTTCTGAGCTTTCTCTGAGGTGTTGCTGTGCCAGTGCTTCCACTAATTTGATTTTGATTTGTCTCGGGGAGTGATGTATTTATATCTTTTCATGAAGGCCAATTGCCTTGCGATGTTTAATGTGCATATTTTCCTCAATGTTATGGGAGTGATAATAAGGATGGGTATTGCCCCAATTTCCTATAAAGGACCAGGAGCAAGGGAATAAACCAGGATGGAGGCATGGAAAATTACTTACCCAAAGCATTGCCTGAAACCTGTGGCAGAGCTGGAGATGAATCTTTATGACTTGCAGTAAGCTGCTGACGGTGCCATCTTGTCACAACAAGCAAATGATGCTGTCATGCATGGGTCACTGGAGGATCAGTGTTGACTGAGATGATGAGGGCAGATAATAGCCCTCTTCTGAACACCGTTGATTCATTTCTCCTGTCTCTGAGCTATTCCTCAACTTTCTCCTTCCATTTTTCTGCTTCTGGTGGCTTCTCTCATGCATGGAAGAAATTGGTGACACAAAGCCACTCTTGCTTTTTGAAAGCTCCTTGGCACTGTGGCACTCCTGATGCTCTTAAGCTGCCTCATATCTCCATGGGTACCTTCTCTGTCATCCACCTTGTTAAATCCTCTCTAGGTCATTTGGCCTCTTTGCACCTACAGTCTAGGATGGACTCTGCGTGCCGGACAAACTGAAATAAGTGACCTTTGGGAGAAGGTTGCTGGTCGTGTGGTGACCCCATGAACACCAGTGTTAGCGATAGGTGTTTTAACCCACTCTCATGCAGTGATAATTTCAGACTGACTCAACTACTTGCAGTTATGATCTCTCTCAGGTGGAGTTATACCAGAGCTGTGTCACTCTCTCCTCTCCCAAGAGCAGATGGTAACAAAGCCTTGGGGGTGGGAGCTGGAATCCTTCAGAGAATCCTCCCTCTCAGGGATGCTGTGTAAGTGATTGATGCAAAGTAAAACAGTGCTAATTGCAATGGATGTATACTGACAACTTGATAGTTGCTGTGATAATTACAGTAATTAGTGAGATGTTAGCATCTTTTTCCCCTGTGTCTAGGCTATAAATGGAAAAGGTAGAGAGGGTATGTGTGAGAGGAAGGGATCTGTGAGTCAGGCTCCGGGATGGCCCTGTAACTTGGGGGAGAACGTGCCAAGGTCCTGGTTGTGGAGGCAACTTGGTGTCAGATTTGTACAAGCAATTCAAACCTTGATTCTTCCTGAGCTTAAGGGAAACTGAATGTTTAAATGTATCTTGACAATCTGGTTCTCAACGTCATAAATTCAAGCCTGGCTGGTTTCCCATCGGAAGGAAGATTCATATATCAAAGTGCAGTTCCATTTTCTCACTCAATCTTAAACTGTTGAAGGAGAAGACAGGACTGTCGGTCATTCCTGAACAGTACCGTGTGTGCAAACTCTGGATTTCCAAGGGCTGTGAAAGGGGAAAGGTGTATTTGTAGTTTGATCACTCAGTTAACAAACTTCACAGCTGACAGATACAGAGAGGAGTTGAGGTTCTGTAATAGAGCACGGCTGTTTCTTCCATCTGAAGGCTGTCAAGTCTGGGACAGCAGAGGGAACCAGCAGAGACTGAGAGATTCTCAGCCTCTGTCTGTCTCTTTCATTGGTTCAAAGCTAAGTGTTATGCACAAAGGAAGAAAAATTCCTTGGGAGTGGGAACAACAGAAATTTAGGAAGGGTCAGAAAAGGTGATGGGCTGGATGGCATTCCCCATCTATCCCTTCAGACTTCCTAACTGGGAGCACTGGAGGGAGATGGTTCCCAGTTTGAGAAGAACTGGGTTAGGTTGCACTGAGATGCATCCTGGTAATTTTTCATGCTGCTAAATCCCATTTCTTCCAAGTAACGTTTCTGCAAACTTCTTGAATTATTTAAACCCAAAGAGGATTTTAAATGCTACCTTAAGCATTTTTGCTTTTAGGCTAACTTATGTGCTTAATTCTAGGCAAAAAAAAAAATCCAGATTTTTTAAATTTGCTTTCTGTGTCAGGGTATAAATGGTGCTCAGGCATTCACCTGTGGTTACTCTGTTAGGATAATTCTTGAAAATGCAAACCTTTAATGTGTTAATGCATAATGCATAAAACTCCTTTCCTTCTATAATGTGATCTGAATGGCCAAAGTGATTCCAGAATCAGTGGTTGGGTGGCAGTAACCTCAAGAAAACTGCCAGTGAGCTACACAAATCCTAGGCCTTTGCTGTTAGGTGTTGTGTATAGCTGTCTAATGCTCTGACCTCTTCTTAACGCAGTACCTGAAGTTAAAGAATTTTGAGGAGGAAGTCAGAGCCCACCGAGACCTGGATGGGTTCTTGGCCAGAGCCAGCATCATCCTTGATGAAACAGCCACCTCCTTGGACGATGTTCTTAGAGAGATGCTGAAACACTTTGCTGAAGATCCTGAGAACATGGAGCCAAGCTGCAACTTTGAAAAAATCATGAGCACTTTATTCACAGATTCAGGGACCCCACGAGAAGGGAATGGTAATCAACTCTTAATTTGCTTTTGCCTGCGTGTTAGCGTTAAGTTATTGTCCTTTCCGTTGGTGATGTGTTGAACACTCACTACCGCATGGTCCCTAGACTTGCATGCTGCATGTGACACTGGGGGGGTATTTTTCCATGTCACTCAGACTGAAGGGTCTCATGTCTCTAGGGCTTTTATGTTTTGGGAGAGTCATGCCCCTGCTTCATTAAGATGACACGTAGCGGTGTTCTTTGGGGTGAGAAGTCTACAGCACTGGAGTGTCTTGTCTGTTTGGACCCCTTAGACTTGCTTGTCCTCAGACAAGTGTCCAGTGTTCTTCAGCAAAGAGACACTTGCTGGTGTCTCTTCAGAAATGGCTCCTTTGCCTTGTGATTCTCTGTCTGAATTCACACAGGCTGGAGAATTTTCCCTGGTTTGAATGAGCAATTGGTTGGGGAGGGCTGAGCCTTTGTGTTGCTCCCAGCCCACTGGAAGGGATGAGAGCCACTTTATTTTCCTCCAGAAACTCAACTAGGAGGTCCCTAGCCAACATTGTTGGCTCATGTGTCACCTTAAGCTGTCAGCAAATGTCATAGCATAGTCTAAACCGCTACTTTTTAGCCCAAGATGTAAAAAAGCTTAACTAAGCATTGTTTCTCTGTAGGCACCCATGATGTTTCAGAGTCAACAGGAATGAATATACAAACATGTACATCGCACCTCAAATGTAACTGTCACAGCCTGAGTGAATTTGTTTAACAGATATGTCAAGTCCTGAGCATGTAGTAAGCATGTTCATGCTTTGGTTACTTCTTGCTACCTGTCTTAGAGCTTTGCATTTATAATCTCTTTAATTTAGGCTTTCTGCCAATAAAGAAAAATTAAGCAGTGCCATAAAATATGAGAACAGTAATTAGGAAGAGGGGTAGAAAGGGCAGGGGATCCAGAAGGCAATACCTCTTCCAGTCCTGTCTGTCTGTGTGTGTTTGAATAATGCTAATCTAATAACCTGATGTCGCGGTAGGTTGATGTTGGGAGGAGAAAACAGCTGCCTTTCCGAGCTGTGAATAGTATCAGGACAGAATTCAAAAGCATCAGGACAAACGTTTCCATCTTTCTCTGTTGTCGTCCCCATGCTTGCATAAATCCACTGTGCAGATAAATAAGTACGCTTGGTATTAGTACTCGGCTTCCATTTGAAAGGAAATGTTACTTGCAGTTGCAAACCGAACGTGGACAGCCTGTAACGTTTCCCCTCTCTTCTTTTCCTAGTTCACCTCTTATCAGACACAATTCAAGGGGTCACAGCAACAGTCACAGGGGTACAGTATCAGCAGTCCTGGCTCTGTATCATGTAAGTACTTGGGTTAGACTAGCAGAATCCACTGGCTGCTCAAAACTTGTAACTCTTCTTGGTGATGGGAAGAATAGCAGTTCAGAATGTGCCTTTAAGTCAAGATGGGGATGCCCTCTCCATCCATCCTGGCCTGTGGGATCTCAGTCTCGGTGTTGGGTTACTCCTCTTTGCAAATGAGCAAGCAGTAGCCTGAGCAGAGATGACCACAGTCTCTACAGGGCATTAAGTTCTTGGATACTATTGAAATCTGGTGTTAACAAGCTAAGAATGGTGAAAAAAAAATGAGCCAGAAAATGCTAATTACTGAGAAATGTTAATGAGAAGAACTTCTGAAAGGGACAAGAAAACTGGTTCATGGACTGTTTTGCCTGCCAAAGTCTGGGAACTTGTACCAAAGGATTTCTTATGTCCTTTGAAAACATCTAAACGTTGTAACTGAAAATTGAAGACAGAAATTCTGGCACTACTTAGACACTGATTACTTTGTCTGACAATTAATTCAGATGGTGATTAATTGTCAACACTGTTAAACATTGGAACAGGCCCTTAAGACAGTAAGAACTGTCACCTGGGATTTACGAGACATGGTGGCTTCACCCCAGCTTCCCCTTGACCAAAACTGAGTTTTGAAATTGTCTCAAAGTCAAGCATGTTTCCTTCACGGGGGAAGGCCAGAACCTGAGTCACTGAGCCAACCAAAGCAATGTGATTTGACTGCTGTCTGTTGGTTTATGCGTATGCAGTTTCTAAGTCAAGTTGTCAAGAAATATATTAATTCCCAGAGAAATTACTAGGGTATGTTGGATAGATGCCTAAAGGCTCGGGGAGTACGTGCACATATTTTAGCCTTCACAGCCAGTTTGCTAGGACTATTGTCACAATAGCTTTTCTTCTACTAGCAGTTCCTACCCTCCGCTTATGGCTGGAAAAATGTATTCTGCCTTGGAAATAGATGTGTTTTTTAAAAAACAAACAACATTGAACCCCCCACTCTTCTTTCTAATCTCTTATGAAAGAAAGGTGTGGTCCTTAGGTAAAATGGAAGCTGTTGCATACCAGGGCTCGCTCTGTTCTGTGGAATAAGTGCACTGAATAACATCTGTGCTGCATGTGCTACTGTCACCTCTACTCTTGGCATGTACAGAGCAGCTTGCAAAAAGAAGAAAATGAGTTTATATAGTAAAATGATCTTCTGTACTGATCAGCAAAGAGGATTTGTGGGCAGTTTTCTCCCCTTTGGATGCCATAGGTAGCATAGCGTCAATAAGGACACGTACATCCAACTCTAGGAAGGGTGGAGGGTGGAAGTTTCTACCATGGCATGTGATGTGGCTCTATGGAAGGCTTTGGGGAGCATTGACTTAATAACAAAGCATTTCTAGAGGTCATGATACAAATGCTGTGATTATATACATGAAACTGAAAAGGGTAGGTTCAGCCTTTCTGTAGACAGTGTGCCAAAGCTTTAAATGCATCCATGTGAGTAATACTAGCCTCCATGACAAGACATGATTTGAAAAATAAGCTTACAGCCTGAAGGTGTCTTGTGCAAAACTTTCCTTGTTTCTTCCTTTTGTTACTCTGAAGAGGGAGAAGAAAGTGGTGGGAAAGCAGTGATGAGTTATTAACTATAATTATCTAATTATTGCACTGTATTTCTGCTGTAGCTATTGTGCAACAGATTGTGAGCCATATTTTTAGATCTTACATTTTTCTTGAAGTCAGATTGCAAAACAACTTCCAAAGCTCTAAAGTAAAAGGAATTTGTTGATGAAAAAATTTTCCATGTGAGTGGGAAGAACCTTTGAGATATCTGGTGTTCTTTATCCTTGCATTTAGCCTGTACTCTTTGCTAAATTTTTAAATTAGCCTTGCTGGTTTTTGTGCACCTTAACTAACTTTTTTAGTCCTAGTGGATGAGATAGGCTGAGTATCGTGTTAATGAGGAAGAGCAGCTCAGAGATACAGTTTTGGTAGTGTTGTTTCTGCATTGATTTTGAGGGGAAATACTAAAGCTGAAATTAGCTTAGAATCAGAAAGACACAACTTGTGCAGGATTTTCACTGAGTTGTCCAAAGCCTGGCTGTAGAAGAGCATTCCAAATGGATACAGAAGTTTGTTTCCCTCTTCTGTGCTGGAGGGAGGGCTGCTCTTTCTTATCTGACTTACCAGTGGGAAGAGTGGTGGGGAAAAACCTAGGCTGAAACAGCTGTTCTGCTTCTGTTGGAATTGGTACTTTCCTGACAGTTCCAGGTCTGTTGAACCATCAGCAAGGTTAAATGTACCATATGGATCTGGGCTGCAGCCACATGACACAACAAACCCTTGAGGAACTGAAGATCTCAAGGTTTGAACATTCCACTGAATTCCAGGAAAACAACTGGCTTCTGAGTCGCAATAGGCTGTAGGACTTTTTTTTTTTTTTTTTTTTGTTAAGAATGGTCAAAACCTGATCTTGCTGAAGCTGTACCAGGGTACATAAGCTTATGGAAACCTTGAGACTCCTTCATTAAGATTCTGCGTGGCTGGGAGTAGCGCAGTACTGCATGCCCCATTAGCCAGCAGTCTTCAGCTCTAGAAGAATGAAGGTTATTAGATATTTGTGTACGTGATGGTTTTCTAACTAGAATAGAAAGCAAATCTTCAGGGTTATAGATGAGCTTCATCAGTCAAGGACACGATCTCATACCTTAAAAACCACAAACACAACCCTTTCTTTCTCTTATTCATAACGTTTGCCAGAACAAGACGACACAAGCTGACATGGAGATGTCTTGCTTCACTGTGAAGCTGCTCGTTGATTGTTTCATCAGAGAATTTGGGATGAGGGGTAGCCAGACCCGTCCCAGAGTGGGGGATGTTGAACTGTTATCCTCAGATTTACTCAGTTGTTCAGCACGAGGGAGCTCTGCTGTTAGTAGGCGCTGAGGGAGGTGTTTGGGCACCCTCCAGCATGCAGTGACTGCAGCAGGTCTGTGTACTGCCAGGAGGGTGCTCGGAGTTGCCCGTGCACCACCCAGACCTACCATGATCCCAAGCCTGGAGGGGGTAAACTGGATGCTCTGCATGTCTGGATCAGGAAAGGTGGGGAAGAAGCCCCTGTGAGAACTATTGGTTTTGGTCTTGCACAGTTTTGTGGGTCAGAAAGCCCAAGGAAACCCCCTCCTGCCTTATCCAGTGGAGAGTGTGTGGAGAAGTGGCTCTCATCACAAGCCAAGTCCTATCACACCCAATTGCTGCTTTTGCTGTCTGACAAATGGAGATGCAAATGACTGTTCTTGGTGGCTTTTTTTCCCTTTGGAGTCAAGAATATCTAATGCTAAAGATGTTAAAGTAACTGTTAACTGACTGCTGGTGGATCTCTCTCCTTGATACCCTCCTAGGAGAAACACCAGCTGTGTGGGTTATTGAACAAATGCTCCCTGAGCTGAGTGGAATTCCCCAGGCATCACAACTTCCAGGCAATATTCTTCTTGCCAGGGGATATAACTGTTTTCTTCCAAAGCTGAATCCTTAGAAAAACACGAAATCGAGCTGCTTTATAGCCTGGATCGAGTAGTTGAAGAGCCATTTCCTTTGGCCGCATTGATAAGGCACATGGATTGGTAAAAGACTTATTTTCAGTGCATTCAACTGATTTGCTAAAGCTGTTTTAACAAACGAAGCAGAGGAAAAAGGCTTCTCTGCAAGCCAAGAATGGTTTAGTAGTTTGTGTGCTCAGTGTTGCTATAAAATTGCTTACTCTGATATAGTATGTCATTGCAATGATTCCTGTGGAGGAGTTTAACTTGGAAAAACCCAGGTAGCCTTTCAAAAACAGGTATTGTGAGGTTATTTCGGATATCAAGCAAGACTGCTGCTCAAATAGAGGAAAATTTAAGAGTATTAACTTCTCAGATTTAATGTATAACTGATGAGTGTGTGAAACGTTACTAATGGGTCTTTCCAAAAAAAAAGTAATGCAAAGCCTATTTCATGGTTTTAAGGATTTGTCCAGACCCAGAGGTTTGAGTCTGTAGAAAAGCCACGTTGCTTCTGATTTAGTTGTTGAATAGCTTTCAAATAGTCAGTTACTGTGTATTCCTCAGAATAGTGCCCTTTCTTTCAAAGAGCAAAATGGGATGCTGAGGGAAATTAAACAGTTCAACTGTTTAAAACAAATACTATACTTCAGAGGAATGATTACAAGAATTGGAGTCTTGTTTACAAGAGCCTCTTCTCTAGAATTTATCTCAATCATCTCAAGTATTTGTTGGGTCCAAAGAACTGATTAATTTTCTTTCTAGCGCCTGAGCCACCCTTTTTGGCCTGTTTTAGGTTATTCTGGAGAGCTGAAGCTCTTGCAGGTGCTGTGTTAATAAAAGGAGTTCTCAAATTCCAACCCGCCGTTAGGAATTTGAGTCTCAAAGGAGATGTGTTGAAGAGAAGGATGCCTGCAGCATGTGTGCAGGGCGGAGATGTCTCCTTATGCATTTACCAGTCCAAAACGATATCCAGCTTGGAGTAACTGTTGCTGAAACAACCCTCTGCCAAGCTGCGGGTGAGCTGGCTTGCTGGTCACAGCGTCATTCCTCACTTGCAAATTCTGGTTTCTGAAAGCTTGTGCCTGGAGCTGCTCCACAGAGGAAGATTTATTTGCAGTGGATGAGAACAAGAAGTGTCATTGTTGTTCTGCATCGGGACAGGAAAAGGCTGGCTAGCTGATTACCTCTGCTGGGCACTTTTTCTTACTGCAGGGAATAATTTGTTTCTGAATTAACTTCCTTTCTTGCCCTGTTTAAAGAGGGTTTCTGTTTCTCTTGGGTCTCCATAGTTTGACCCTTTTTATGATTTGGTTGAGAAATGTGTTATTACTCTGATAACATCTTGGGTGTGGGGCAGACCTGCAGCGTGTGTGACTCGGTGTATCACTGATTTTGGTGGAGCCTTGCCAGCTTTCGCCATCTGAGTGCCACGCTCAATGCCGCTAGATACACAGCCTGGAAAGAGAGGAGGACAGCAAAGCAGGAATGCGTGCTATAATTTAAATGCCCTTTTTATGAGCTCAATTATTGGAGGATCAAGATAAAATTGCTGAGAACACAACCTGACATTTCATTAAATCATAGCCCAGCATTTCCTTGTGTGACTAATACTTGGTGAAAATAGATTTTTCAGCTTTCTGGCCAAACCAAAGAGAATCAAATTTAGCTCAACCCAAACCAAAAAGGAGCTTGGAGGCTTTGGCCAAACCAGACTTGATTTAGAGTCAGCTGAAAATGTCTTGCTAGTTCTTAAGTTTTTTGGGGGCTTTGGCTATTTACTCTTAAGATTTATTTTTTTTCCTTAGTGGGAATTTACTTAAGTGCTTCTTGAAGAAAGTTGCTTTGTTTTGAAAGTAACTCTCCTCTTCGCCTGAACCGTGCTGACTTTACCTGCAGTCTTGGCATAACTTGGGATTTCTCCACGTGAACAAAATAACTTTTTTTTGTCCTTTAAAAATTTGCACAAGCCTAGCAGGGACTGCAGTTTTGGTTTATATGATAACTTTATATGGATTCAGGAATTAAAACAAAAGTGGGAGCTGTAGGTACTACCCAGGGAACGGGATTTGAGTTGGCTAAATAACAGCTTAAATTTGACAAAAAGCTTGAGATGCTGAATGATGCATGGGTAGAAGTGACTTGGCCTTACAACTAAAAGTTCTGAGACACTGGGGGTTTTTTCCCCACCCAATAAAGGGATATAACAAAGTGAGACCAGGCTCAGTGCAGAGGAGGCTGCATTCTGCACAAAGGCACTGTTTCTCCTCTCCATGCAGCAATGCCCAGGTACCTCAGACATTTTCTGTGGCACATGTTTAAACCTGGTTTTAATCTGGCTTACCCTCACTAAACCAACTCAGCCTGATTTGTAACGGTGGTATTGACTTAATTTGTGTCCACACATTGACCTCTAAACTAGATTGGCAGTTCTTCAATGCTCCACACTCAGCTTGATTGGTGTGATACTGGGATTCAGATGCACGTGTCGGTGTCAGTAGAGGTCTTTATGGAAGAAACTGTCTCAGGTGTGAGAAGTCTCAAAGTCCAGCACCATCGATAAAACTATTTCAGATAAAAATGGGTCGTGATGACAGTAGGTTGCTTGGTGTCCTGTGAATGTGCTCAGTGTTGCCAAATCTTCCAGCACTGCCTAAGCACTGCAAGACCCTCTTGTTGCACACTTGCCCAGTCCCTCGAGGTAACGAAACCGTGGGCTCTTCATGTAGAGAAACACAAGGTTTTGGCAGGACTGCCAAGAAAATTAGCTGGTATACAAAAACGATCCATTAACAAAGACCAACCTTTTAGAGTCAAGTTTTTCTCCTCCATACCCAAGAAGCTCTTGAGCTGAAGTGATGTTGTAGCCCTGTGGACTACACTGTTGGCAAGACTGTCACCTCTGGAAAGCAGAGCCATAGAGACAAGTTACCGGAGCTGAAACATAACCCTGTCACTTCAGGGAGAAAGTTAGCTACAGAAAAACATGTGTCTTGCTTAATTATTGCACTGTACAATAGATTTTTCCACATAACCTGCTGTAGTGCAACATGACTCCACATATTGTAGCTAGGGGAGCAGGGCTCTTGCACATTGGCTTTCTTGCCTCCGGTAGGAGGAAGCTGAAATTCTGGGGGGGCGTTTGTGAGGTTCCAGTTATTGGATTTACTCAAATGGAGAGGGAGCTGCTGAGCAGCACTGCCAAGAGATGGCTGGTAACCTGTACCTCCACAACACATACATGCTTAGGTTCATGTGTGTTCCTCAGTATCCTGCCCCTCTTCAGGCCCTGAGGCGTGTGTTGGTGGGATCAGCCCTCGCACTGTAATAAGTCTTCTCTGGCTATTCTTTGTTCTTCAGTAGTTTCTTGCTGTCTTCCCACTGCCTGATAGACATGGCAGGAAAGGGATGATGTCTGGAAAGTTAGTACAGCTCTCTGAGCAAGAAGTATCTGATACCTGTTTCTGGCCATCTCTGGAGTAGAAAATATGTTCAGAATGCCCAGAAAATCTTCCTTTTCAAAACAAATTAACCGGTGAGCTCAACATCTGAGGTATGAAAATACTGAGAATGGAGCACAAAATAAGGCTTATTTTTTTGCTTTTGATGCATTAACTATTCATTGTTGACCAGTTCAGGTAGACAGGGACTGAAGGTTGGACTGCTTGAAGGTTTTTCTGTTAGTATAAAGCCTGGAGTTCGTCTATCTTCCCCACTGGCTTGTTGAACTCTAACACAAAGAGACTTGTCTGCTGTCCAGCCACAGCAGGACTGCTACCAAGGGCTTTGATTTCCTTGTGAAAACCAGTGTTCTTTGTGCTCATTTGATCCCTTGGGAGGCAGGGACAAGGGCTGTTGCAGATCCAGACTATGGGTTTAGTTGAGAAGATAGCTTGTATTCTGAATTACTTTAGAAGAGATTTATTCCTAAATTTAGGATTTGCCTTGATCTTTCTCCCTTCCAAACCTGATTCAAGTAGAAAAAGGACGCAGGGCTGTGGTGGAGGGGATTTCAGAAATGAATGAAGTATTGTCATCTTACTCGTGACCTATATTGTTCTAATTAAGCTGTTTGGTTGCTCTCAGGCAAGTGACTTTGTCAGATTAATTTGTGTAAGTAGGCTGCTTCCAATCTGTGATCAGGAAGTCAAACTCATTAAGAAAATACTTTGTGATTTTTGCATATGAGTTGAGAAATTAATAGAAAATATAAAGTGGTCCTGACTAGTACATCTCTAGCCAGAGATCTTACTGGAGCCGTTACTGGAGCAACCTTCACGGTGCATGGGTGTGAGAAAACACGTTAAAAGGGAAGAAATGGGCTAGGATTATGGAAGAGAAGTTAGAGGAGAGATTATTTCAGGACAGTGATAAATGCTTGCTGGATGACTAAAAGGGAGCAAGCAGTCTCTAAGTTACTTTGAACCAGAAACAAAATAAATTGCTGAGGTAGGAAAACACACTTCCATACATCTTTCAGTGTCAATAGCCAAAACCTCTGTATCTCATTGGTGCTTTTCATTGCTGAGAAGTAGTAGGTGGCTGTAATGGGAACAGGAGATCTGCAGTCCAGGGTGATGTTAACGTCTTCCTGCAACTGCACCAAGTCACTGTGCTGCTTTGTCAGAATTTCCCAGCAGGAAAAATGATAGCTACCCTGACCACAGCTGTGTTTAAATATCCCAGGGTGGAGACAGACCTGGTCTTTCATGGCTTCCACAGATGATCTCTGTGTTTATTTCAAACAACTTGTTGCTAGTCTTTGTTATGGGATTGAAACAGCCATCGTGTGCCCAGAGGGGCTGGGTGGATTGCAGCCAAGGATTTCCCTCGGAGCAGCAATCCTGACCTCTGTAAATCTTGAGCAAGGTGGTGAGCTTGGTGTCTGCGATGCACCTGCACCAGAAAAAGGAAAAATAACAGCTGAGAGCAAATAGGGAGAGTCATTCAAACAGAGAAATGCCCAAGGCAAAAAAAAAAAAAAAAAAAAAAAAAAAAAAAAAAAAAAAAAAAAAAAAGTGGAAATATGTTGCTTTGGCATCTTGCCTTAATGTTTCCAGAAGCACTTTGGGAGATCACGTGAAATGAAATCAAGTGTAAACTCCTTTCCAGTAACGTAGGTGTTAGGGTTGGGGTTTTTTTTTCTAAGAGGGATTTTTGTAGGAGCTTCTGTAGCACTGCAAGTATTAGGTATGTTTCATTGTCTGTCTTTTGATTTCTTGGCTATTAAAAAGCAGATGGGGAAGAGGAAGCATACACCTTGAAATCTGGAAAGCTATTTCCCATGCAAACGTGGATGTTCAAATTTTACAAGAGAGCTAGCAGAATTGGGCTGACGATACCTTAAAGTCACTGTTTAAGACTTCAGAAGTGAGCCTTTCACAACCAACAACATCTTTTATTTCTTGAAGTCGAAACATATATTTATAAACCTTGTGCACCAGGAGAGATCATGCCATGTGTCAGAGTGCTAAGTATAACGATGCCATCTTCCTTCACAGTTGCACTATAAAGTCCCTTCAGCGACGTCATGTTTGCATCAGCCGCCTGGAGAGGCCTCAGAATTGGGGTGAAAACTCCTGCGAAGTGAGATTTGTCATATTAGTCCTGGCTCCTCCTAAAATGGTGAGTATTCCATTCTTGTGTGCTCTGATGCCTCAGAGGGTTCTCCCAAGAGTGCTTTTTCCTTCTAGGGTTAATGACAACATATTTCTGAAACGCAAAGGGATGTGAAAAGACTTGAGATCTCAGCAGTTGTCAAGATGGTTTATACTAACAGCATCTGTGAGGGGTAGATTAGTCAGCTGTGTCCTCATCTCACACTGGAGAATGGCCTCTAGCCTGACTGGGAGGAGAACGCTGCAGATCAAGTGTGTCTCTAGTCCCCATACACTTTTTGCTAAAGGTACAGCTACGATGTGTGTGTTACTCCAGACTCCCCCCCTCCAGCTTTACCAGTTTAGTCGCTATTTTCAGAGGTAAAGAATGCAGTTCAGGGTTAAAGCCAGGCTTCTGAAGTGCTCTTGTGAGTCTGCAGCTGATGCCCTACTGCAAAGGGTCTGGGTTGCTCTCCTGATGGGACCAACAGCTACACTGCACATGTGATTGCAGAGGTTGTAGATGGGACTGATGTAACCAAGAGGGAGATGTAGTTTTGTAAGCTCTGTTGCTGTAAGAGTGAGACTGTGGAGGAGCTGGGGTGCTTGTAAGGTCAGACATCCTTTGGGATGTGTTTTCATAGCTTCTGGCCCTTGAAGCAGCAAGGTTAAAGCTTTCTCAAGTGTACTTGCTGGTTCTTTGATGTAGACAAGGCCAACAAATGTCATAGTAGTACACATTTACTACAGTATCACAGGGGCATCAAGGTTAATCGAGAATCATTATCCTGTCTTCCTAGAAAGCACTGGCTTGATCAAGATGGTGTGTTCTCCTAGCTAATGGTTGAACAGTTCAAAGCTCAAGACCTTTTCACACTTAAGCTGGCTGTTTACACCTTGGGCCTACTAGATCTGTGCTTCTGGGAGGTGCTGGAGAGGTTGGGAACCTCGTCTGGAACAGGACATAGCCTAATTCAATTTCCTGCTCTTCAGTGCTGCCTCTGTGACCTTGGGACCTTCTAGTCTGGTCTGTCTGTCTCCTCCCCACCACCCTTGTTTAAATAGAAATACTGGTGTTTCCTTATTTCCCAGGATTTCTGGCAGATCTTTCCCAACTGAGCAGTTCAGTGCTTTTGGCATAGATCTCAAACCCAACAGGCTGAAAACATATTGATGTTCCTTATGAAAAGCAGCAGGCAAACAACTGAACCCATGTGCAATAGCATTGATCTCTTTCATTGTATGGCAGTTTGCTTATCTCTGGCCAGCTACGTGCAAAGCACCCAGCAAACAGTTCTGTATCCGCTTGTGTCCTGAAAGGTTGCAATTCCAGTGGACAGCATCAAATTAAGGAAAGGGAGTGGAGGCCAAGCAGAGCTGCAGTTGCCAATATGCTTTTTATTTTAAATGAGTTTATCTAGCCAGCTCTACGTACGCATTTCTGGTGCAGCAGTTAAAATAATTAACCTGCTGACAGTAACAGATTAAATGAGCCTTGCTTGGGGAGAAAAAAAAAACCAAACCAAAACAAAAAAAAAAAAAAAAAAAAAAAAAAAAAACTAAGGAATCCAGATCCTTGGCCTTCTTTAATATGGAGGATGGAAAAAACTTGTTCTCCTGCAAATCTTTGTGCTCTTCCTCTAAACTGTTCATGTCTTTTTGGGAAAGCAAAGGGAGGGAGTAGCATGGAGCAGCCTAAAGTAATCCCTTGCAGCATCCAGCCAAAGGACTGCTGCTTCTTAGAGGTGAAAAGAGAAGCCTTCCCCACAGTGGCAAATCCAGGCTGGTTCATTCTGAAAGGACCAAGTTTATAAACTCTAGAAAAATTACTCCCAGAGCAGATTATCTTCTCTTAAATCCAAACCTTTCCCTACTTAATTACTACTTAAATTTAATGTGTCCTAGCAAGCGTGTCTGAAGGGATGTTCCCTGTGATGGAGAGAGGATGATGGAGGAGAGGTGGAGGCAGGACAGTGTGAGTGATGGAGCAAGTATAGTGATGACTTTGGGAGTAGTGCAGTGCCACCCACATGTCCGTGCCTCTGCATCAAGCAATACTGAACTATTTGGTTGTGTTCGTGGAGAAATTGTTCATCTGCTTTGTTATGAATCATGAAAACGAATTCAGCTCAATCACATATGCTCGCTACTACTTTTCACAGTAATGCGAGGAGCTTGGAGGCTGCCCAAAGGAGGGTGGTTGTTTGGGTGTCTCTAGCAGTTGCTACAATGATGAGTGTTGAGTGTAACTAAGGCGAGTGGGTGAAAACTTTGCATCAGAAGGAGCTCTTAATGAGCTGTGGCTCTATATAATTTTGCCTTGGCCAAGTATCTTACCTGTCCCGATCGAGGTGGTACAAACAGTTTGGGTGGGTCAGGGTTTGTAGAGCTGGGTTTGGGCTTGTGCCGGGATGGGAGGAGCTCAGTCTCCTTTACTGTTCCCTTTGTATATAATTCCCAAGGTGCTTGGAGCAATAGCAAAGCAGGTTTGGATACTGTTGAAGCTGGACCCTTAAAGACCAGGCTTATGGCTTACAGAAACATTAAAGCTTGCAAATCTGCACTTGTTCCTTTTTCCTATTTGCAAGTCTCCTGTTCCTTCGAAGCATTTAGTGAAGATAGACAGCGGTGCTTGTGTGTGTGCTCAGCTGCTTCTTCCATGTGCTTTCCTCTGTGCCAGTAGTTACTTTAGCTGAAAGCTCTCAACCTCCACTCGTGCTGCCAGAATTGCCCCAGAGAGGCCAACTGAATTAAGTTTTATGATGAAGCAGATGTGCACAATAAGCTCAGCCTTCTGGAAAAGATACCACAGTACTTCTACCTGCAGGAACTGTGACTACATTGTCTTTCCACCCCAGTAGCAGTAATGCTGAGATGCTGTAGGATAGCAAAAACTCTGACTTGTTCAGATTTAGCAGCCTCGAAGGGAGACTGGGGATAAAAATGCATGCTCAGCATGATTCAGCTTTGGATTGAGTCCTGGGAAGTTGATCGAGTAAGACTGATCAGTGCTGCTGGTCAGGGCCGGTATGTTGATGCCTTCACAGGATCCTGCTGTGGTTGGTGTGTTCATCTGCAACAGCTTCCACATCTACCCTTCTCCATCATGTGTCCCCAGGGATCTGGAAGCCAGGCAGCTTGCTTTTCAGATGGTGCCCAGTGGGGAAAATCAGTGGTTTTACCTTTCAGAAGTGAAAAAAAGGTAACTTTACAAAGGTTGCTTTATGTCTTTTTTTTTTTTTTTTCCCACTCAGAAAAGTACCAAAACTGCTACAGAAGTGGGCAGGACCTTTGCCACGATGTTTTCAGACATAACCTTTCGGCAAAAACTCCTAGAAACCAAAACTGAAGAAGAGTTCAAGGAAGCCTTAGTCCACCAACGCCACTTGTTGACGGTGGTGAATCAGAGACCCTCAGCAATGAGTGATGGGCACAAGTCACATGGTCCCAAGCCCCTCAAGGTAAGGCTGGGGTGACATCTGCCGTGGCCCTGCTTCAGTGGTGTCCAAATGCATAAATACAACGGGGTTTGGGTAAGGAGATGAATCACCTTTGCTGCTTGCATCCATCGGGCTTTCCTAGCAAGCTCTCAGAACAGCCATTTGTAGAACCCTCAGTGCCATGTCCACCTTCCCCAGCTCCTGCTGTAAATCTTTAAAAACAAAACAAACAAACAAAAAAACATACCAGAAAACCCCCCAACACCCCTCAAAAAAACCTCCCAACAAAACAGCAGCAAAAACCAAACAAAAAAAAAAAAAAAAACAAAAAACACAAAAAAACCCCAAACAAACAAAAACAAAAAAAAGAAAACCACCCCACCAGGCATTTCAAAGAGGCAGGTGCTGAAGGGATGCAGAGTGGTAGGGGGCTAAAATGGTTACAAGACTTTGATTCCAGATGCTTAGTCAAGGGTGGGATTAATCGATCACTGTGCGTTGTTGGTCCAAGGTACTTAATCCTACAATCAGAATTCTCTGAAGGAAGCTGCTGCTTGTCTTTCCTGCAGCCAAAAGACTTCTTGGCCATCTCTGCACGGTAATTTCACTTAAAAGTTGCCTGTCAGTATTTGGCCTGACTTCTCGCTGTTTGATCTGTAGCTCTGTAAAACGTTACTTGCTTTGTACTTTTAAAATCTGAGGGAAATGCTGTAACCCAGCTTTCTTTTCTGGAATTTCCTGTGTGTTGGTCATCGTTTTGCTTTTCCGTTCAGAAATTCATTCTTTAACCAGACAGCATACCTGAAAAACAAACTGTGCCATCCCTAGCTTGCTGCTCCTGTCCCTGAGTTACAAATAACCTTAAAGCTTTGAGTTGTCTGCAGTGCAGAAGCTGGTTAATTTACTACTTTTTTTTTTTTTTTTTTTTCTCCTGGAATAATTTAAGGGGTTTTAATCTGCACATCTGGAAGTGAGCAAAGCTCGTGTTTTTCCTGCAGAACCCCCTTGCTTATAGGTAGTGCTTTGAACTTTCCTAGACCTCATTCCTGCTCTTTTAAGTTTACAGAACAAGTCCTGAAACCCTCTTTAAACCTAGGTCATTCAGAGTGGTGGTATTCAGAGTAGCTGCAGTAATGTAATTTAGGTAAAATATGTTTAACCCTTTGCACTTGGCCTTTCAAAGGAGTTTTTGTTAGAGCAGTTGGAAGTGTCTGGCTCTGTCTTCTGCTAAAACTAGCCCTTTTTAAACGTCTGTAGAGGATTTTCTGCTCTGTGGTTTGATGTGCAGGAGGGCTGGATGCAACACTGAGCTTGTAGGTGTTGGCCCTGAGACGTGGTGGTTCCTACCTGCCTTGCTGGGCAAGCAGCCTTGGCCAGGCAAATTTTTGACGGCTCTGAGCCAGCGGTGTGGAGAGTGATGCTTGTTTCTTTAGCACTTGCTCTTGGCGTTGATTATTCTTGGTCTGGATTTGGTAAATCATTTGGTTTTTTATACTTCAGCCCTCAGGAGATGCAGCCTGCATAGTAGTAACTCTGCTTTCTCGTGTCTCTTGGAAGAAGCTGTCCCCAACACTGCCTTGACAGCATAGACCTTAAGAGATGAAATGGAGATTTCTCTTCCTGGCAAGCAAAGATTTGCCTGGAGAAGCGAGGTTGATTTGAGATCACAGCCTGCATTCCTCAGTTCCTATGAGAGCCATCTCCAGCAGCATCTCCTCCCCCCTGCCTTCCCTGTGCAATAGCCTACTCGAAAGGAAGTGTTTAATATGAGCACAGACTCATGTGAGACCAGGGGTGTAATTTCAACCTGTGAACCACCCCCAGTGAAATAAATACCCTAAGCCAGAGCCACTGTATTATTCCAAGTGAGCCCTCAGGAGAGGGCGAGAGGGTAAAGTCTCTTGGTAGCATAAAAATCTGTCTCCTACCACCTCCTTCCCTTGGTCCTGCAGCGATGGGGGAGAACTGGGCCTCAAGTGCTCTGCGTGAGAGTGGGATTTTTGCAAGTGCTCATTTTTACCTCTGCTAAAATACTAAAGGGGACGTGACAGTCACATTCCATGCTGTGCCTACAGCACAGTCAGTTTGCTTTGGCTCATCTCAGAGGATTATTTAGGCAAGGCTACATACTCAGTCATAATTAAGCCTGCCTGAAATCCACTTGTTTACTGAGGCATCTAACTGTGATTTTGTTCATGGAGGAGCCCCTGACAGGTGTGATGCTTTCTAGCTGTGATTTTGTGTCCATTTGATACTTGTGTGGATTTGCTGAGAGGGCTGGGCTATTGCTCAGCATCAGCAGGAGTGGGGGGATAGTTTGTGTCCCTGGTCTGTGTAAAATAGTTGTGCAGCCCCCTAGTACTTTAAGAGAGGACTGAGAAAGGGTCACTGGTGTTGGAGCAGGTATTTTCTGTTTGGCTTTTTAACTGCTGTTAAGTGCTGGCTTAGCCTCTTCCTCTAATGCAAACAATAGTTGCTTATGGCAAGAGACTTGGATGGATTTGTGAAATAGAAAGTAGAAAATTAATGAATTTCATCTAGGGGGATTTTGTGTGTGTGCTCCTTTTGCTGCTCTTTCCTACCTTGTGTATTAGGTGTAGCATCGGCAAAGCACTGGGAGAACTTCAAGAGGAGAATAAGGAGACTGAAGGAGGATTTGGTGCTGGGGACCTGAGCTGTGGTTCCTAAGGGCTGATAAGCCTTGATCTTGGTGTTGGTGAGGAATGCAGCTCTGGCCTCCTGGATAAAGTCACCTAGTATCAGGATGTTAAAACAAAAATGTAATGGGACCATGAGAGAGGTGCCACCACGAGTGGGAGTGGAAAGCCAATGGGTCAGCCAAACTTGACCCACTGAAGGAGAAGTAAGCAGGGGATGGCAGTCCAAGAAATTCCCAGGACTGGAGTATCTGAGGAAGCAGATCAAAAGGGCAAGAATAAAGTGTCAGCACGGCCCTTTCTAAGATTTTTTGGAAACCTCCCAAGGTGCAAGCTCAGAAGATTGCAGGAGGCAAAAGCCAGACTGAAACATGTCTGAAGTAGGGTTAGACAATGAAGATGCGTGGTTGACAGGTTGGGGGGGATAAAAGTAAAACCAAAAAAAGGGCAGTAACTTCAGAGGTCGGTGAACTTGGCCTTCTATGTCCTCAGTGTAGCCCAAGCTGAGCAGAGAGGGAAGTAAGAAGAGGATTAGCCATACAGAATCAGCAGCTTTCCTCATCCTTAGCCACCCCCATGCCCCATCCTAGGCTGAACTTGCAAATGCATGAAGGAATTGGGAGGGGTCTCAAATGTAACTCATCGGCTCCCCCTTCACTCAAATTTGCCTGAACTTGCCTTGTGGGGCGTGAAGTTTAGGCAGCGCTTTTCTGCACACTCACTGCTGCTTGGAACAGGCACTGTGCATGAGTGCCCTGTCTCTCCCCACCCCACATGCAGCCCCAGGCCAGCAGCAAGCATGTGGCTTCTTCCCTGGAAGATGAGATACCCCGAGCATCGTTTTCCCCATTCTCACTGCAGCGAGAGGAGTAAACATATTAGTCATTAAAGCTATTGTGATTCTCCGGCTGACTCGTGCCTTCAGGAATGTCTTTCTGTGTGTGTGTGGAGGGGGAAATTAAATTGCTTTTCAAGCGCATATGGCTTTGATGTCCAAATATGCCTCCAAATATAGTTTAAGCTTCTAGCTTTTTCGGAAATGCTTAAAATGCAGATGTTCTGCTGGGGTCTGCTGTCTTTTCATCCTGATGATTCAGGTTAGAGTTGAAACCATCTCAAAGTAATACAGGTGTATTGGCAAAATGCAGCAGATTTGACTGAAGTAGCTGAAATATGACTTGCCATAGTCACTGGTAAAGGAACGGGTGCTCTGAGATATCTTTTGCACCCCAAACCATAGCGTTTGCTCTGCCCAGCGTACTCCTCCTAAAGGAGAGGTTTCCTTATTTTACTGATGGCACTGATCATCCAGGTGCTGCAAAGCAGGTGAATCTCATGAGAAAGCACAAAGTTTTGTGTAGTCTGTTAAACTACAGTGTCAAGTCCTTTCCAAAGCAGTAGTTTTAATCAGTTTCCACATAAACCAGCCAAAGTCCATGCTGTTTTGAGAGGATCTGTTGGTATAAATTTTCCCTGCCCTATACTCCCTAGCAGAGGTTATAAGTCTTCTGTGTCTAGTCCTGCAACAAACATATGAGAAGTTTTTAGATGAGACAGCTGCGGTAATTAACGCTGTGTAAAGGTGCATTTGATTTTCAGAGTAGTATGTGTACTTTGAGTTGATAACAGGAGAAAAAACCTGACAGGTGCCTCATTTGCAAGTGTTGCCTACTCTGACGCTTTCCATGTGCTTCCTGTAAGGATGTAGCTGGGAGAGCTGGGAGGCTCTAAGTCAATAGCAGCTGTCACATATTTCTGAAAAGCTCCTTACTGCCCGTGGTGAGCATCAGATCCTATAAACAATCCTACTGCACCTTGCAGGCCCCCGAACCAGAAATAAAAGGGAATGTGTTGGGTTTTTGGAACCCTTTCACAATGATCTTACTGTCATTTAATGGGCAGAAATTATGGCTTGGTTATGTGAAGTTATTCAAGCTTTTTCCCATTTGGTGGCGTTTGAGGTGTAGACAGTCTTAGCTCCCTTACGACATTTATTTGAGGTCTCCCTTTCCTATGGCAATGCCAAGGAAGGGAGCATTTGCTGGGGATCCCCTTTCAGAGGCTTCTTTGGATTTGGGGAAAGTTTTTTTACGGTGGTATCTAAAGAAAAAGAAATTGGATAGAGGGATGGGGAAGGTATCTGTGACGTGGTTTCACCCCAGGCTACCCAAGGTCTAATCCTGCTGTTGGCCGGGGTGTTCTCAGCAGGGCACACCGCATCGGCTCCCTCGTTGGCAAAACAGGGATGCAGATATGAATGGGAGGGGGAGAAGGGAAGGAAGGGAGGAAAAGAGGGTGGTCTGGGGGATTTTTCTCTTTTTACAATGCTTTTGAGGATATAAATCGAAGTGCGAAGAGTTTATTTTTATTATCATTACAAAATCGGATTTGAATGCCCTATTCAAAATGACCCGTTTTGCTCCTATCAGTATTGAATAAGGAGGTTAATCTCTTTAACAATACATGAGTCTTTAAACTGACACAGCACTTCCTTCCTTTCTTTAGTTGCACGAGTTTCTCAATGTTGGCAAGGGGATTTCTGATGACATTGCACGAAGATTTCCAGTGTACGCTTTGGACTTCACTGACGGTATGTTGGCCAATGTTTATGAAAGCATTGGCCTGATTTTGAATTTTTGTGATGCGATGTCCTGTTTACAGTTGTGCGTTGAATGTGTTCTTTGATACGTGTAATAGCCCTCTCATTTCTTATTTAAAAGAATATTTTGGCAAAAGCCTGTGCATAGGCAGCATGGTACACCATAGATGAGAATCTTGCTGTCTTCCCTTAATGAAGATGCTAGCTGTATGTTGATCAGGATTTTAATTTTTATTAAGCAACGGGGTGATTACACGGATTGATTATTGTCGTGTGTAGACACAGATCAACTCATTGCGACCTAATTAGTCAGTGCTGGCCTAATAGGCCCTTTCTGCTCTCTTTGCAAGCCAGCATCAATAGCAATTATGGTGATGCTGTGGGAGTTGAGAATGCTTAAACAAAGTCTGAGCTGCAATAACTTCAGCTCGGTGCTTTTAAAAGCAGGATATGGCTTGTCCGCTCTAGCCAGATCACAGGAGCAGCAAGACAGTGTTTATATTGAGCCTCAGGTTTCGGGCTTTATATAGCTCTCACAATGGCCTTGCTGGTTTTTGAGTCACTTTCTCCCTTTTCACTTTCAAACTTTCACTTTCAGAGAGTCTGTGAAAAGTCTTCAGGGCAAACCATGACTGCAGAGCCGCAACCTGACATCAAAACCTGTTCAGTTTCTTACAGCTTACTGGGAAGTTGGTTAATATATTCAAGTTTCAAACCCATAAAGTTTTCATACAATAAAGATGTAGTGTAGGCAAGGAGAATCTTGAGGCTCCATCAGCCACCTTCCTGCTGTTAAATCCTCCTCTCCTCAAGCCACAGTGTCCCCACTGCCCCTCTGCTGATGGCTGTCTCCCTTGGAGTTGGCATAAAAAAAAATAAGATACGTACCCAAGCCCCATTCTGCAAACAAGTATCCTAGTGTAAAGCCACCTTCCACAGCAGCTTAAACTTGAGAGCAAACGTGGGCAGGGGATGGACGTGTGTCCTCCACTACATTTCAGCAAGGGCAGCCACTGCCAGCAGAGGAACAAGGCAGTCAGCTGTTGGCTGAAGGAGATTCCATGTGTCTGGGGGAGTTGCCAAGTAGCTGCTTCCCACAAAGATCCCGTTTGTTCACTAGGAATGTTTCATCCACCACAATGTGTTTTGCAGTTAGTCATATCCACTCCGCTGGGAAGAATAAAATGGGATGAGGTGCTGGTGTTTAGCACAGTGGTCAAGTGCCGGATACTTTCTCTAGGTGCTTTGTAATTTCTGGGATGAAACTATTTTTAGGAGGCTTGGGGGCGATAGGAGGGCAGGCTCTGTTTGAAGTCAAGCTAATGATATATTCTCCAGGGATTTAAGGGTATGTTGTGGAGGGAGAAGGACGAGAAATTATTTTCAGGGAAGCAGCAAGGAGTCTTAAGTTTTGATTATAAAAAATATTATTTCTTGGCATGTGCATCACTGACACCAGACTGTCAGGGGACTTTAAACTCCGAACTGGAGTGAGTTCAGGTCACTTCATCTCTATGGCTGTTGCTTTGTAGGGCTGCCAAAGCCTAACTTTTCATTCTAAACGGGTGTTGAAGCACTTCAGAAGAGAAATGCTGCAGAAGCACCTTGTTGGGGACCCACGTGCATCTCAGTCCCATGAGGATCTCATCACCCTCTACAACTCCCTGCCAGGAGGGGGCAGAGAGGGGGGATGAGTCTCTGGAGCCAAGGAGCCAGCGCCAGGCCCCGAGGGAATGGCCTCAAGCTGCCCAGGGCAGGGTCAGGCTGGCTCTGAGGAAGGATTTCTGTGCAGAAGGGGCTGTTGGGCGTTGGAATGGGCTGCCCAGGGCAGGGGGGAGTCCCCGGGATCCCTGGAGGGGTTGAAGAGTCGGGCTGAGCCAGCGCTGAGGGATCTGGGGGAGTTGGGAACGGTCAGGGGGAGGGTCATGGTGGGGCTGGAGGAGCTGCAAGGGCTTTTCTAGCCTTGATGATTCTGGGATTCAAACCAGAGTGCAGTGTCTGCTGTGGCTGTCTGTCCTGAGCGCAGCAGATGGACAGTCATAAAAGCATCATACAGATGTCAGCAGATTTGGAAATCCATTTCAGGGTCCATGTTCTGGCTCTGCACATGTCCAAATTAACCTGCATATGCTGCCTCTCAGCCCTGGGGCTGTCAGCTATAGCCAGGTCCGCAAGCTTTCCATGAACTGATGAACATATCAGATCAGGCCTGACTTAAACAAGGTGCTGGGATTGACTAGCTTGAAATAATTGTTCCCTTGAGTGCATCTGCCCTGAGTGATGAAATACTGTCATATTGACAATCCAGCATTACAAATATTCCAGAAAAATTATTTTGGTTTAAGGAGCAAATATATGTTAAAGCATCAGTGCATTGTTGGGAGGGTCAAAGGTGCAGAAACAAGCTAAGTGAGACTCAAGAACTACTGCAGCTCCAATGTGAAGTACTCGCCTTTGGAGCATTTATGCCTTTTCAGATAGGAGATGGAGAAACGAGGATTTTTTAGAAAAACCTCTCTATATTAGTATGTGCCATTTCTTCCCAGAAACAGAAATTAGGATGAATTCTTTAAGGGTCTGCACGGAATGAAAACCAGATGGAGCATAAAGTAGCTGCCCCGAACCACCAAGACCGAAGGTGAGCAGGAATGTGAAATTCCTGAACCGTCTCAAAGCAGCAGTGTACCAGAACATTAGGGATTTGAGCTATCCAAGTATCTGTGCTCCAGACAACCCCACGTGCATCATCAAAGAGCGCTGAATTACAAAGATGCCTTTTTTTTTTTTTTTTTGAATGATTGGAGTCCCTAAATCCTCATCCAAGAAGCATCCTGGGGTTTTGGTTAGACAGATAAACCGATTAAGGGCAGGGTGATAAATAATAAGGCTTTTGTAGGGCCAACAAGTGTTTTGTCAGTTTGACTTTTGTGGGATTGAACTTCTTCACACGCTGCACAAAGCTGGCCATTAAATTATCCCTAACCGTCATGATTTGGGAGAGGAAAGAAAGGAATCATCTTTTTTTCTGCTTTTTTCTTTTTTTCCTCCAGATTAGGAACTTGTCAACTTTAGTTCTGCTTTGTGTTGTGCATTTTACTGAACATGCAAGGATCAAAAGAGTTTTCTAAACTTTTGGTCCAGGACTTTAGTGATATGGATGGCTTTGTAATAGGTGTCTTCGTCGGAGCATCTGAAGATGAGAAGTTGGATTATGCTGAGCCTGAGAACACCTGTAGTTTTCTCTTTAAATTAGGATTAGTGGCACATAGTCTCCTAATGACTACAACCTTTGCTTACGGGATTTTGCTTTCTTAAAAAACAAAACAAAACAACAAAAAACAAAACCACATTTGTACAGAATTTCATCCTGATCTTGTTAAATAGGCTCAAAACACATGTGTATCAATATTACTACTCTTTATGACTTGGTTGAACCCTAGGAGCTTCCTGAATTCTTTATTTTGAGGCTGGTTTGAATGGATGGAATTCTGCATGGACTCGGTTACAAGTCTCCTGAAACCCTTTAAAGTTGCTACCCTTATTCTTCAGTCCGTATCCTTTGGTACAACATGGAGGAATAAACACTTACAAATGCAGTGTCTGGAGTGCGCAAAGGGAAATTTGAGGTGCCTGAGATATTTATGGTGAGCTTTGCTGTGTTCTGCCATGTTTCTTCGCTACTTGGGGAGGGAGCATGAAGGGAAGAGAGGAGAGCTGAAGTTTACTGTTGCCCCCTGTTTCCCTGGACCTGAATCCTTGGCATGAGGCTGTGGTGGGTGGATATTTCAGCTGCCGATGTGGATTCCTCTCTGCCCTTGGTGCTGTGGAGAGTCCCTAACCAGCTCCTCGGAGTAAGGCAAGTGTATCTGCTGGCAGCATCCTCAGGATGTGTTGGTTGTGTTTATCGAGGAGAGAGATGTCCAAAGCTCCCTGTAATGCAGGCATGCTTTGAAGGAAAGCTTGAAGGCACAGGAAAAATGGGATTTAAAAGGGGAATTTTTGTCTTGCTGGTTGCCTAAAATAGCACAGAGTGTAAACCTGTTAAAATGTTGACTGTGGATTGGCTGTGGCATGTGCCACATCTTTGAGTCTCCCACCTGGTTGCATTGGCCATTGCATTCTTGAGGGAGGAAAAATAAAGGGATTGCAGATAGGCTTTGTCCCTTCTCATCAGTGCCTCTGCTGCCCTAGGTTAGATGATGGGGTAGCTCCTGTGTCACTGCAGCTCTTCATTCCCAAGTATCACCTGGGAGTAAAAGTTCAACAGCCTCTTGAAGACTGACTTGTTGGATGCTTTGGGGCATCGTGGCCTGGGTTACTTTTGAAGTCTCTCTTTGTGTCAGTGGTGGATGGGGATGTATTGAAGAGGCATGAAGGAATCTTGGTTTGTCTGTGGATGTTTTCTTCCAAGAGACTAGCGCTTCGTGGGAAAGAAACAAAGGAATAAGGGAAAGCTCCGAGCCCTTGATTTGTTTCTTCATACTTCTCTAGTCTGAGCATATGCTCGGCTTCTCTGTTCTAGAATGAGTAAGAGTGGATTTCCTTTTCCAGTTAAGTTCTTAGTCTCACTTTTGCTGTGATTTACTCTTCACAGGACTTTAGGAAAGATTCATCTTCTGTTCATCTTCAGAAAATTGGGCAGAGTCCAGCAGCTACTTAAATAACTGAAATCCCAGCTTGAGGGCATTAGCAGGAGTTTGTAATGCTTTCAGTTTTTATGGCTCAAAACCTATGAACAGATATTGTAACTGGGTGTTTTTACCGTTAAAAGGTGATTTTTTTTTTTTTTTTTTTTTTTTTTTTTTTTTGACACATCCATGCTTCTGTGCTGCAGATCAGTATAATTGCACTTTGTTTTGCATTGGACATTTCAGAGAATTGGGAAAGAACATTAATAGACATTTCACAGAATGCCCATCTGTCTCAATTTTGATTCAGTAAATGTACAATTAGTAGACTTAAGGAGCTTTAGTCCCACGTCTCTGGGTCTCTTGGTCATTAACTTATTGATGCAGAATACCAGGCAGAGCGAGGCCAGCAATGCTGCAGTTTTCTCTGAAACTCCAACCTTGTTTCCAAAAACTACGACATTTCAGAAATTCAAGCCAGTGAAATAGAACTGTCATGTTGATGAACATAATTGCTTCCAATTTCAATGTGTAGATGTACCTTAATTTCAAGGGATTGCTTCTGTAATAGTCATCTACGCAAATTTCGCAGCTGGACTGAGGGTTGAATTTTTTTTTTTTTTTCTGCTACAAAGTCACGTTGTGCGGTTGGAGTGACACATTTTTCAATGGCTTTATGAGCCTGCTGCAGATGAAATGCCGTCATAATGCAGCCCACCTTCTTTTTAAATGAAGTAATGTCAGTCTCTGGGTTGCAAATAGACTCTGAAAAATGTTTCGTCAGATGTTGACTTTAAAAAGGCAAAAGTAAATTGTGGTTAATGCTGGGTTTTAGCACTAGTCTCAGGTTAATCTGTGCAAAGAGGCAGTATTTGCTCATGATATCAACTGCAATTAAAGAGTGATTAATCATGTTTGTGAGAGTGTGTTTAATCTGATGTAGTTATTGTCTCCATTATGAAGTGAGTTTTTTGCTGCCCATCAGAAGGGATTCTTTGCTCCTTGGATCTCATCTGGCTGATTATGGGCCAAAGTACGTACTGCTTTGTACTGGAAGTCTTGGACCCAGCCATGATGTGGCGTAAGGGCCTCCATCATCAGCAAGGACTCCTGCTGCTCGCTTTGCAAGGATTGAAGCTGAAACTAAAAGCCACACATGAGCTTTTGTGATGCTTTTCAAGCTGCTTCTTTCCTTCTGCCGTCTAATACTATGGTTTATCTACCTGAAAGGTTTTTTTTAGAAAGCACCTCATCATTTGTGTAGCTTTGTCTGCTCAGCAAATGAGCCTTTTTTTTTTTAGTGTTAGTTGCTTCTCTGATCCTGGTTTGTCTATGAATGATTTCAAAGCTTTCAGTCATCGTTGCCTCTGACCTTCACCTTGTAGATTCTTTTGTCCAAAAAGCAGTATTCTGGAGTGGTGCAGAGTCCTCTGAACAAGGATGTGGCCATCTCTACTTCTTAAACTACCACTTGGTCTACCGTTTGCCCTGCCAAGTCTTTCCTTTTTTCTAAAGGTTTCAGGCACTTGGGAGTGTGAGGTAGGAGCCTGCAGCTGTTGGACTTGTGATCATATGAGAAAGCTTCATCTGCAAGAAGTATATTTCAGGCCCTTTGGTTGCCAAGAGTGGTCAGGAATGTGGTCTGTGGTTTCTGAATCTTCACAATAAATTTGAAAGGAATCTGCCTTGAAACAGCTGGTCCTAGGACTCCTGGAAGGTCAGGCTCATATTTGCATGCTTGAGATGTTTCTTGTCAAGCTTCAGCCCCTGCCCTTTTTTTGAGGATACTGAGCATCCGAAGTCCTACTTACTGTCTGTTCCTTTTGTGTCTGCAAACAGGAACCATCGCAAGGTGTCCCTTCTTCATGTGTCTGCCTGTCCATTACACATCACCTTTGAGTTTTGGTTTTTGCATCCTCCTGTCCTTATCTCTGCACTGCACATGGTGCAGAAAACAGATGTTAGATAAGATCCCAAAGTCACTGAGTGAGATTTTTTTTTTTCCTTTTTCATTCCAGTGATACAGTCAGTCTGTTGTGAGAACATCCAGCTTTTCTCCATGTTGCACCAACAGCCTCTAATTCAAAGCACTCCCTTCTCTAATTCAACTCATTGGCTTGTAGCTCCCTCATCAAGGGACTGATGTTACAGAGGCTCAGATGGGTGTTTGAGAGCTTAGGGGCAGATGCCTGTGTGGGAATTCACTGTTCAGGAGGCTTCCAGAAAGGAGAATTGGGCAACTCCAAGCTTGTCCAAGTGTCTCACAGCAGGAGTATCATCAAGGATGGTGACACAGACAGGTTGAAGGCTGTTACAAGGTTTTCTGTGAAAAGGCCCTCTCGTGTATCCTCTCAGAGGCTGTTCTGTGAAAAAAACGTATATTCTCCTTGAGCAAATTCAGCTATTGTCATCTCTCATCCTTTCTCTTGTGTGATGTGAGCTCACTGGGGACGGACATCAGCCTGAAAACAGGAAAGGGAAGCTACTTCAGAGGCCCTTAAATTCATATTATGACACTTTAATTCTCTTTCTGGCTGCTTTTGTTTTGGCCTGGTGTGTTTTTTCCGATGGAGATGAGAGGGGGTGAGTGGATGGAAAAGAAAGAGGCCATTCTTTCAGAAGGGCTTTTTAAAAGCAAGACTCTCAATGTACGCATTCCTGACCTCTTGTGCTATTTGTTTTTGTAAGTCTGTGAGCACTAATTGGCTCAGCATAGCATATTATTGATTCAAGCCTATAACCTCAGATTTCTGTCTAGGGAAAAACGAAGTGCTTCATGTTTTCCTGCCCAAGGCATCATGAGTTGTGAAGATGAGTGATCATTGTGAAGCTTGTTAGGGGCATAGTCCAGAATACCTATGAAGCTGGTATTAAAAAGGCAGGGTATGTGGGGTTTATGAACCCTAAACTTACGATTTCTGCTTTGATCCTCTTCCAAGCTTTTGGGGTTGGCAAAACTGAACAAAAGGCTTCCAGCATTTCCTGTTTTGACAATGGCAGAAATGTCTGTTGAAGCAGTCTGGTGGCACGTTGCTGCTTCTACTTCTGGTCCCAGGTGAACAGAGCAAGCAGGGGTGTGCAAAATCAAATGTTCAAGATCTACCTATGCATTTAAGACTAAAGCATGGACTGAATTTCTACTTCTGCCTTTCAACATGAAAAGAATAATGGTACACATGGCTGGTTTGAGTAGGGTTTCAAAGCTTTACAAATGGGCAGTACTAACATAACTTTTGTTATGGTTTATACTAGGTGTTATTGGAAACAACAAAGCTATAGGAAAATACATCACGACTATGATCTTTCTTTATTTTGCCTGCCTCCTTCCATCCATTGCATTTGGGTCACTCAATGATGAAAACACCCGAGGAGCTATTGGTAAGTTTATCAGTGTTGCACATGTTATAGGATTCAGTGTATTCAAACTGGGTAGCTCTGGTTATGGAAAGTTTTGGTAGATTTTTACTAAAAAAAACAAAACAAACAAAACCAAACCCAAAACTGAAGGCTTGTTTTCTAATTTTCTAATTACATTTTCTAACTGTAACAATTGTAACCTTCATGACTTTTTCTAAGACTAGAAAAATTGAACACTGCTTAGGATAATATCATCTGAACTTGGATGCATACAGATATATGCTACTGTATTTTCCAATTATGCTCACTTTATAACTGTGCAGTTATCTGTGCGTTTTTCCTAGTACAAACTCATGCGCATTTGAGCTGAATTTGATGCCAGTATCCAAATCACTGGTATAGCAGATGATGCTTTGCTCTATCCCATTTGTGGCCATGATGCAGTTCCTACTGCTGTTACAGTTTGAAGGAGTCTTACTTTATATTTTGTCCCGAAGGCCTCCACAAATACTGGTTATGTTTTAAGAGCTGTTTAAAATAAAAATTTAAAAATCCCAGCAAAACACAACAAAAAAACCCAAACCAAGAGAAAGACCCCCACCCAACTTTCATAGATCAACATCTGGAAATCTGGTGGCATCCTAAATTATTGGTATAAGTTTACTGGCAAAGGGTCACTTCTTGCTTTCACAGCGTCTCACCTCTTTATACCCCCTCTAAGCATTGCTCTTACTTTCAAGTGGTTGGCTTATGCTCCTTGGTCAGGGAGGTGTTTGTTAAAAACCGTGTGTTTCCATTCTTCCTAATTATTCGTAGATGTGCAGAAGACAATCGTTGGCCAGTGTATTGGAGGGCTGCTTTACGCACTCTTCTCAGGGCAGCCTCTAGTTGTACTCCTAACGACGGCTCCTTTAGCACTCTACATTAATGGTAAGTCTGCTGAGCTTGTACGTCGGGACCGATGTGATTGCCATTGGTGTAATGGGACTTCGTACAAGAGCCTTGCAATCCTGGTACAGCTTTGCATTTGTTTAATCAATAAGAAAAGGCTGCTTCTGTTGCTGAGGAAGAGGGGAGGAATTTGATTCAGGTTTAATTAAAGTTGTTTTCTAAAAGAATCATCTCACACGGAAAAAACACGTTGGGAAAATAAGCGTTTCTTCTGCTCCAGGGAGGAAATCCTTTTTAATCTGATGGTTTTCTCATGTGGCTGCATTAAACCAACTTGAGGATAAGAGCCTAAGACAATTTTTTTTGCTGGTTAGGGTTTTTTATATTTTTTTTATTATTGGTCTGTTAAGGTGTGATCAGTAGCTTTCCAGTTACAGCTGCAAGTTGGTGTTACTGAGCCAGAGTTGTAAGAGAGAAAACTCAATATCTGTAAGAACAATTAGATGGGCTGTGACTAGCCTGAAGGGTTTAAGATGTGAAGGTTTGTCCACAGTGAAGTGACTGAGTAAATACGGTGCAAAAGCATGTATGAGATTCCTTGCTCAACGGCATCCTGAAATGTCAGCGAGAGCAAGATCCAAGGCCTGATTTTGTGGCCTTGATCCCTAGGAAAGATAATTTTGAGCAGTGTGAGAGTGTTTTCTTCCGAGTGCTTCTTCCTGTTTCTAGTGAAGGAAGGAGATGGGGAAGGGGAGAACAGTTTTAGGTTGATCCAGTGTTCATCCAGGAGCATAAGAACGGGGATTTAACGGTATCTGCCATAAGTGCATTGCAGTAAAATCTTGAAAATGGTTCTTCTGGCCATCAAGCAGATGAGAATCACAGGGTTGTCATGTCAAAGTTTAATTTGACATATGAGCGCGTCGTTTTTTTTTCAGTCATCCGAGGAATCTGTGATGACTACAACCTGGATTTCAGTGCTTTCTATGCCTGGATTGGACTGTGGAACAGCTTTTTCCTTGTGATGTACTCCCTCTTTAATTTCAGTCTTCTGATGAAGCTCTTCAAAAGGTAGCTATTTTCAAGAAGTCGTATTTTGATCAGATTATTCAGCAAATGGAAAAATTATACATTCCACAAGCTCCGTAATTATAAACTTGCCGCAAAATGTATTTTGTGAGATGAGGCTAGTATCATATCAGCTTATTGTTCTAGCTTGAAAGAAGCTTTTAAAGATTTACTGGGTTTTGTTTCCTGAGTTGGAGTCTAACTCAACTTGGTGTATTTTAATGTAAATGCATGAATATGCTGATTTTCCTTTGAATGGAGTTGAATGCAGACTCTGCTAATGGCTATATTAATTCCTGGAATTTTTCCACAGGTCAACAGAAGAAATAATTGCACTTTTTATATCCATCACATTTGTGCTTGATGCTTTCAAAGGCATTATTAAAGGTAAGTCTCGCAACATTTATTTTTTTTTTTCAGTGCACATCTCTGCTTTGCTTCCTTGTCAGAGCGAAACACAAGGCTTCAAATGTGCATGATGTTTGCTTGTTCTATGTTCATTCAGGGTCTTCAGGAAAAAAATTGAGTGTTGGAGATTGAAGCAGCCCTGTGTCAGCAGTTTATCTGGATACGCAGAATTTCTATCAGCTCAGATTTGAGTTAGCTGGAATAGAATTAGTGTCTTAAATGGAGAAACCATATTAATTTCACTGTGAAAATCTTCCCCTGATACAAGTCTCTTTGGTCCTGGTAAAAAAAAAGTCCAAGTTTTAAATGTAGTATGTCTAGACCTCTTTCCTTGCCATGTTGTTAAAAAAAAAAAAAAGTTGGAAGATGGGTTGTGACTGCCCATTCTTACATTAGCTCTGAGATCCCTCAATGACAGCATAAGGACTGCAGTGCTTTCCAGCACGCTCCCAAAGCTCTTCAGCCCTGTCCAGCTACTTGCTCCCCACTTCTGGGTTCAGTTCTAGGTGAGCATCCATGAGTAGCTGTAGGGTTTAACAGCTTTCTACAGCGTCTCTCTTCCTTCTGATCGGGAATGGCTGGAGGTATTTGTGAAGGTGAAATGTTAGAAGAAATGCCATGTGAATGGCAACCTTTCTGTTCATCCCAGCGATGAGTTGGCCAGCTGTCCGTTCTTTGGTTTTTTTATGACCTATTGTCCAACAGCCCTAAGGTTGGGCTATCCTTTGAAATCCTTCAGGACATATCTAAGCACACTGAGCACATCCCTTCTTTTCAAGATTCTCAGGCTTGGCTTACTATGGTATCTTGCATGCAAGGAGTACACCTTCAAAGATCAGGTTTGACACTGCCAAGCAATTTGAAGCGAGATGCTTCCTCGCTTCATTGGGAATCCTTAATTTGGCTCCTTGGGCATATGCTTTGATTGTGCAATCACAAAGGTGTTTTTTTTCCTCTGCAGAACACTTGCATCTTTCAAATATCCTGCTTAGGTAAAGCTTAGTGAAGGAGAAGCTGTTCAGGGATAATGTGCTTGCTCCTTGCTCGCTATGTAGCTGTGAGCTTTGCTTAACATGTGTTGTTAGTGCCTTAGTCTGGAGGCATGAGACAGTCTCCTTGTGGCACTAAGGTGCTCCTCAACGGAACATTCAACTGCTCTGTAAAAATCAGCAAATGCAAATGTTCACGGTGCTTCTGTAGTAGAGAGCTGATTTCCCCTAGCAAGGGAGTGGGGTGCAGGTTAAAGGTACAAAAATCCATTGATCTTGGCCACCAAACTTTCAAGAATATGCAAGAAATATCTGAGTATTGCAGTGGGGACAGGAGAGGATCCTGGAACCTAACTAGCATTATTAGTGCAGTTCTCCCTTGTACTTGGGAAGAGCTCAGTTCGTAGGAACGTGGGTAATAAAATCAAACCAAAGCTCGGCTCATTTGCCAGCTCACATTGGGTTCAGATGCGCGTCGGAGTGTTCAGTGCATCCACAGATGGGACCCCAGGTCCAGCCACGTTCCCAGATGCAGAAGGGCACCGATGCTGGCAGGCACAGGCTTTATCCTTAAGCCTCTCAGTGCTTATATTTAAACACACGACACTAGTGTGCAGCTCACAGCCACATGCTCGTCTGTCTTTCCCTACTCGTGTTTTGTAGCTGGAGTTGATGGTTGCTGCTGCCATCTCATCCTCCTGCTCAAAACTTCGGTTGAGCAGTTAAGTAGGAAGAGAAATCTGGTATCTTCTCCATGCTGTTAAATGTGTCCTGGGAATGGCGAGCCAGCTGACAGCAACTTTGGGCTTCCTGCATACCCCAGGACATGCTGATCTTGCTCAGAAATGTTTTCCTCAGTCTGTTCATAGATTTTTCGCAAGGTACTCATACGTGTGCAGGAAAGAAGTGGGGGAGGGATGCAATACTGTACAGAGGAATGGAGCCATGTGCGTTCACGCTCTCCTGGTGACACTTTGTTTTTGCCGTGTGGCCCAGCCACCGAAGCTGTGTGTGTTTGATCTTGACATCTGCACTCTGCAGGAAACAGCAGTGAACCGGCTGGAGCAAACAAAGCGAGTTGATGTTGTTGGAGGGAACTTGAGAGCGCACTAGGTTTGAGAATGGCTCTGTTTCAGCGAGGGCACCACCTGCTTTGCTGCTCTCTGAATGTAGTCAACAAGATTTGTTTAGCTCGGTTATTAAAAGCAAATTATAAATCTGCAGGAACTAAATACTCTGTAGGAAGCCCGTGGTGCAGGACAGAGCCCTCCACTAGCCATCTTGGCACCTTCTCATTGCTTTAACTAAAATGCAAGAGTAAAGTCAAGTTTCTTCCCTATATCTAGGATTGAGTGGAGCAATCCTACCCGGTTTTGAGGTGGCTGCAAATTGAATTGCAGCCTGAGAGGTAGTGTACATAGATGGAGTCAGGCTGAACACAGGGCATCAAGGATGTGCACAGCCCTAAATGTATTATTGCAGCGTAGCCACGTGGGAAATTGAGAAAAGCCACAAGACCCCCCCCAAAACTTACCCTGTTTCTTACTCGTTCAAGTCCAAATCTAAATACGGAAGCATGCAAATGCATTCTGCATAGTTGCTGGGTTGTGCGTGCTGTCAGCTTATAATATACTCAGTAATTTTATCTGTCTCTAGGACTTAGTAATGCTTAGGGCAAGCTGAGATGGTGAATAGGCTTTTAGCCATGGCCAGCTGCTGCTCCCCAGTAAATACTGCCATCGTAATTTTTGACAAAATCTCCTTTAATGTTGAGAGCCAGAAACGGCAAATCCTCCAACAACCTGTTCCGTGCTGGTGTGTAGGTCACAGCAGTCCTCCGTGCCTCAGTTTACCTGTTTGCAAAGCAGGCGTAGGTGTCCTGCCTGGGCTGGACACAGCTGCGAGGATGGAGGGAGGAAATGATAGCAGAGCCTTTTCCGTAGCAGGTGATGCAGAAATACACAGTGCTAACAGAGGTTGTAATGAGATTGCTCCTTGCTGCGCTCTTAAAGCACAGGAGAGGTTCCCCCAATGGTCTCTTCATTTCTGGCTGCTGCTAAGAGCAAATTGAAAGGTTAAGTCTTGAACTAAACCTTCTATGATCTTTAAATTTATATACGGAAGTACTGAATGTGAAGCAACTGGTCTTTTTTTCTAGTGATCTACATGCCCTATTGACCCCATCCACTTGTCAAATGCCTGGACTCCTTTTAAAATATAAAGGTGGTACAAGAAAGATTATTACTGCTGGTAAAACGGCAGCATGGCTAAACACGGGGCATCTTACTCTGGGGTGAGCTCCAAACCAGCAGGAACACAAACTGTGCTTTGGCCAAATTCAACGGGGTTGCAAATACCAATTGTGCTTTGCGATAATGTTTAAAGTTTGCTTGGCTTGTTTTCAGATATTTGGAATTACCGTTTGTTTTTTGCCTGCTTTCCCTGTACCTGCTGCAGATAAAAAAGCTGAGGTGCTTGAGCTTTTCAGAAACGTGATTATTATCTGGCTGTGGGGGGAAATGTGAGGACCATTATAGCCTGAGTTTCAGACTGTATTTTTGCCTAAAGAGGATGATCCTGACCTAAAGTTTTGAGTTTCCTCATGCAAGGCTTGAAGGGATATTTTCACTAAAGTGAGGAAAGGTAGAGGGACTGCAAAGCTCTGACATGGTGGTTTCCATCCTCCTGTATCTTCCCATGAGTACTGGGGAGAGCAGCTGCTGCCTGCTGCCATCCGATCACAAAACATGGGAGCACCAAGGCTGCAAAGCTCCCATCTGCTGGTTTTCCTTGCTCCTTGTGACCCCTCAGGCCAAAGAGGTGAAATCATCCCCAAACCACATCTATATACTTGGAGCCAGCCAGTGCCATAGAAATGGAAACACAGCTGTCTAAATGCTCGAGAGCAAGAGTTTATATACAACGGTTAATTACTTACACAAATGCCTCTGAGCTAACCTCACACATTTATGGATAGTTCCGGAGGCATTATTGGGGGTTTCATTTGTCCACATTTGCTTCAGGTGCTCTGTAACTCTCTTTGAATTTGCAGTGTAAATTTAATTGTTCTGCCAGGTTTTGCATTATCATCAACACTTATCTTTAAAATCTGGACCAACCTTGGAGGAAAAGTAATTACTGTACATTTTGTAGTCGACTTAAGGATCTGTGCAGCCTGCCTGCTCTTATTTTTTTTTTTTTCAGAAATCCTAATGGAATTTGTTTACCTGGCTGATGAATTAGGTGTCTGTATACATATATGGAGTTTTTTTAAGAGCAGTGATTCAAGTGCTAGGAATTGCATAAATAATTAGCTCTGGAAATCCTTACAGTTCAAACTGTTGCTTTAGACCAATTTAACTTTTACCTGTTAAAGTGAAAAATAAATTTTTAAAGCACTGGCCTCTTAAGAGAAGCAGCTCTCCTGATTTCTTTTCACTGGTTTGAGGGGTAGAGCTATAAACCTGGTGAAGCATAACGTTAATACTGCATGATCAAGCAAGAAAGAATCACTTTATTTTACTTGCTTTGATTGTCACAAACCTATCCTAATGCTTGCCTGTTGGTTGTTTGTACAGTTTTTAAGAAATATTACTACCATGGGCGCACAGGAGACAGTTACTTGGAAAAAGCACGAACTGATGCTATTCCAAGCCTCGGCATCAATACCACCTTCTTGATGAATTCATCAGTGAGCAGATCCATGTCCCTAGAGAATCAAACAGGCACGCATGATGTGCACTATGGACGTGAAACTGCCGTCCTTAGTCTCATGTTGATGTTGGGTACCCTTTGGCTTGGTCATACGCTCTATCAGTTTAAGAAAAGGTGAGTTACTTCAGCCTTAGAACTCAGACTACTGATTATTTTCATATTACCTGTAAGGAATCGCTAATGGTTTAGATCTTAATTTTGTAACCCAGAAAAATCAGGTGGAACTCTTCCATTAGTGGTGGTGGAAGCCAAAGCCAGAGATGAACTTGGCTGGCCACCTGGAAAATGTTAGCAGCAGAACAAAACGTTCAGTCCCTGGACGATGCCCTTCCGTATTTGGTTTGGCGTCGCAAGTGACCTTTTTAGAAAGCTTTGGGTGAACCATGTATTTCATGTTGGTACTCCTGTAACTCCCCCCAAATAGGCATTGAACTGTTTTGGTGGGCAAAAATCCCTGATGGTGCTGGAAGGTCTACTGGGAATGTACCTTCAGGGTGCTCTTAGGAGTCAAATGCCCAGCTCTAATTTGGGTTTTACTCCCATTGCCCTTAAAACTCTTCATTTGAAATGCTTGAGTAAGCGATTAAACTAAAGTGGAAATGAGACACAATTGGAGCTTGGAGGGGTTTTTTTTCTAGCTTGAAACTTAGTTTCTTGTTTCTTTATGGGTTTTGCTTATGCATTCATCAACCTTCAAAGGCTGTAGATTCCAGAGGATTTAAGGCTGAATTGAAGACCAATTCTTCACTCCAAGTATCTCTTTAGAATTGCAAGATTGGACTGAATTTTCACTTGTTAAAGCATTAATGCTATCTGGATTGAGCAATTGTCCCTACAGTGTGGTGTTGATGGAAATTTTTTTTGTCTTTAAATTGCAGCCCATATTTGCATGCGAGAGTACGTGAAATTCTGTCCGACTGTGCCTTACCGATTTCAGTTCTGACTTTCTCTGTTGTGGGTTCCTATATCTTCAAGGAAATTGAAAGTAAGTTATATTTTTATTCTCTGGAATACTGGGGTGTGTAAAAATGAGAAATTAAATTCTAGGAAGGTTAAGCTAAAAATAAACAAATTTCTTCCATAGAATCTCACAAATACTGCGTGTACTTCCTTCCCACCACCCCAAGAGCTCAGATTTCCTCAATATTAGATCTAATTCATTCAAAACACTAATCAAATGAGGCTGAGTGAAGTTTCTGTCTCTAGACGAGCTATTCCAGTGCGTATCTTTCATTTCTGTGTAATTTAAAGTATATATCTCTTACAATAAGGAGGATCAACAAGTTCTGGCAAAGAACAAAGGGCACAGTAATTAGTAGGCAGGAAGGGTTGTTGCCAGTCGTACAGACGTAGAGTTGATGATCCCAGTCTGTCCTCTTTGTCTCCACTTTACGTTTTCCTAATTTAGGTGAAATGATGCAGAGCATCTGGGCAGTTCTAAGTTACACAAGGAAATCTAAAAATGAGACGCCATTCATTGGCCAAATAGATCAGCTTTTCCATATCAGGAAGCGATAATGGGGACAGGAATTGCATTGTCCTGTGGTGACGTGAATGGGTGATGTGAGGAAATGTATGGAAACAAATAAGAAATGGCTTTTTTTTTTTTTTTTTAATGTGATGGCCATTCCATCCAGTTGGATTGTAAAATGATGTGTGGCCATGTGTGATTTATCCCTAGTCATGGATTTCTTCCAATGGCAGGAAGGTAGGGGCATTTTATACTAAAACGTCTTGCACAGATTGTTGGATATGAGGAAGTTTCAAACTGCCTCTGCCAGTTGATTAACTGACCATGAGGACTGTACTGCTAGTTAGAAATAAGAGTTTTCTAATCTAAAAATGCCTTGCATCTATGGAAAACAAGTTTCCCTCTTGTTTTGCTCAGATGTATGTAATGCCTCGCTAGAACTAGCAGTAATCTGTCAAATCAGGATGGCAGCCAAGTTCTAAGAGGATGGAGGAAAAAAATAAACTGAAACAGCCAGATGAGCCCATCTTCTATGGCCTTCTGGCTCACACATGCCAGAGCATCATGCCTGGTATTGGTTCCAATAGTCTGTGGTGTGGGTGGAACATTATTTGAATGCATGTGGATGGTTAGACAAGAAGATGCCTCCTAATACCATTCTTCTCCTCTTTTCAGTGTCCAAATTTAATTACAACCCATCTGAGAGCTTGTTCGTGCTGGCCCCGGTCCAGTCCCTCTCCATTGGGTCAGTGATGAGCGCCATGGGGCTGGGGTTCCTCCTGTCAATGCTCTTCTTCATAGAGCAGAACATCGTGGCATCGCTCACAAACGCCCCAGAGAACAGGTAATGCTTTTGGTACTCCTCTTCCTCTGTGGAGAGATGTCCTCTAGTCTCTTCCTAGCGCTGCTTGTCCAAAACTTGTCTGAATATCAGAAAAGATATTCAGGACCTTGTTCTTCAGAACTTCTGTTGACACAGATGGAAGTAACTCCACTGCTTAACTCCTCACCATCCCCAAAATACAATATTGTGGCAGTGAGTGAAAACCACAAAGGATCAGTGAAATCTCCTCAGCCTGTGTCGTATTTGCCCCCTTGTGAATGTTACGTAGATATTTTATATGGTTTGAGTCTGTGAATGTACCTCCAGATACTTAGGGGAGTGTCTGATGCATGTGGACACTTGCACTGCTCTTGCAGTACAGAGAGTTTTTTGAAAATGAAAAGTCCATGACCTGCATAAATGTCGTAGCATGATACGCTGCAGCTAAGCAGCAGAAAAGAAGTGTTGGAAGCTGTTAGTCTCTGACTGAAAAGGTGGAAGTGAAGCAGTATGTCTAATAGGTCTGATTTATGTGCAAACTTGAGATGTTGCGCTATTAAAATATTCTGTCTGATGTTTTTGTGCCAACTGTAATCAGATACGATATCAAGAATGAACGTGTATGACTTTTTCCAGGGAAACCACTGTGTCTCAGAGGATTTTTTTGCTAATGTGATGCGTGGGAGGGTTCTCTCCTTGCATAACATACATTAGCATTCTCCATGCTGTAGCTGGAGTGACACTGAATTAGGGGAGAGAAGACAAGCTCAAATTCAGTTACGCTAATTTGGTTTTCTTTGACCATTTGATTTTCCCTGTTTTATTATATCCCTTTAAGTGTTGCATAAATCTGTAATGTAACTGGGTCATCTCTTTCCTAATATGAGTTTCTTCTAAACTTTTGGTGTTTTCCACTAGGGTGTCTTTAAGGAATGTTAAATATTCTTTGGAGTTCTTCAGAGTGTTTTTCATAATGCCTTGTTACAGGGCTGAGCTTATGCTGATCAGGTATCCTGGCACGAGTTTTTAGAGATGGAAAAACTAGGACTTGACACCTTCTGTCTGTGATGCCATCACAGAATAATTATACTAGCCAAATGGAGAACATGCTGTTTGGTGTCTTACCAGATGTAATGATTGCCTCTTGTAGAGGAAAAAAAACCAAAAACAAAACAAAACAAAAAACACCAAACAAACAAAAGAAAACAAACAAACAAAAAAACCCACACCACAAATGGGGAAAAGATAATGCTTGCCTGACAGTACACTGATGTGCTTTGGTAAAGAATAATCACAGCAAGCTTCTGGGATAGTCCAAGGACTACTGGGCTGGTTGGGTGGTGCAAAGATAACCTTGGATTAAAGCGTCTAGATCTTTATATGTGTGTTAAACTAGAGAAGCTCAGTGGAGCCCATCCGTTGATCAGAGCAGGTGTATAGCACCCACAGTGCTGCAAGACTGCTGAGACCAGTGTCCCAGGGGGACTGAAATGGTGCTGAAGTTAGCTGTGTGGTCTTTTTACGTAGAAAGCCCTCAGAAAGGGGCAGAAAGGACAATCATACGATAACCTTGGGGATGCTGGAGATGCCTTTGCTCTGAGAAAGCAGCACGTGAGCAGGGGCTGTGCTTTCAAAGTGTGAGCCAGCACAGGAAGAGTGTCTACAATCCCACCCTTCCTGCTGGCACCTTCAGCTTCAGAGGCTTTCAACATAGACATCTACCTGACCTAGTCACCCCGTGGCTGCCTCAGTCAGTGGAGGTGAGCACTTCCAGTGAGACAAGGCTTTGTTCCAAAACTAAACCCCACCCAAGATTTCTGTTGCCCAAACAATGGTATCTGCTGCTCTTTGAGATAGATGTTAGGCATAGATCTTCGTGTGCTGGGTCATGTCTACAAACTCTATGTGCCTCATGTCCTAGAGCATCTCAGATGGCTCCAGGTCTCTGTTTCAGTATTGAACAGAGCTTGCTTGAGTGGCATTAAGACACCATAATGGTGATCCCTTTCTAGTTGATGGTGCCTGGAGAGCAGTTCATTTGATCCCTTGCATTGTGTCAGGGTAATAACCACTACCTGCTCTGATACCCAGGCAGAAACACAGGTATAGTCCTTTAAGTTACGTATCAAAGTCTGAGAGCTGAATCCTTCCCCAATCCTTTTTCTAAACGTTACTCATGGTATCTGAGCAGTTGGTACCAGATGGGTGTATTCAGGAAAGGGGCAGACCTTGCTAAAAATGGCAAGGTTAAACTAGATGGGAGTTCAGTGTTAGCAGGAGCTCTCTGTGTAGTCCTTGCAAAGTGAATGTGAAGTGGCCGGTTTCCTTGGTGAAGGCTGCCACCTTCCCCCCTCCCCTAACGAAATGGGGAGGCTGTCCTGTATTCACCAAAGTTAGGAGCATATCTCCTCGGTTGACTACTAAGGAGGAGCTGAAGCTTAATGAATTCATGTCCCGTTTTCTTATCGTGCAGTAGCAATTACATAATTAAGGAATTACTGCAGCATACTGAGCACATGTTCTGCTCACGGGGAAGGAGGGAGGTCAGGGTTGAAAACAAGACGGGTGGGAAACTTCAGCGTCAGTAGTGTGTCAACCCACACCCAGGTTTCTAACCACTCCCACACGGACTCTGCTAGCAGATATACGTACGTTTCTAGGGGACTCTGCAATAAATGTAGTGGCAAAACGCTGATGAAATTTTCATGGGCTGTTATTTTAGTGGGTTGCCTTTCTGCTCAGTGGTGTTCTTTCCGGGAGATGACTGCTTTGGGAGCAAACTATCAAGTTTCATTACATTTCACGTTCACGTAACGCAGACTGTAAAGCAGGAGGAGCGTGAAATCACTCTCTGCGTGAGAGTGCACTTCAGTGTTCAGCGTTCAAGCTCAGGTTCAGTAAGAGCTGCCTCTTGGTTTGCACTGACTCTAACTACTGTCAACAAAAACCTCGTTTCAGGTTGGTGAAGGGAACCGCTTATCACTGGGATCTCCTTCTCGTTGCGCTGATTAACACGGGGCTGTCGGTCTTCGGCCTCCCGTGGATCCATGCTGCCTTCCCTCACTCCCCAATGCACGTCCGTGCCCTGGCCTATGTTGAGGAGAGGGTTGAAAATGGACACATCTATGAGACGTAAGTAGGCGCCGTGGAGCTGTCATGGATCGCTGGTTTCATTTGTGGTTGCCTAATCCTTTAGGTACCGGGGGTTACGTGGTTGGGGAGTTAGCTGTTGTCTTGAAGACCTGCAAGATATGAAGGTGGAGGGGAGATGCACCAAATGAAGCCACCTCAGCCAGCATGGCCTGTGCTCTGGCTTCATCCCTCTTCACCAAAGTGATTGTTTTAGGACAGCCACAGATTTATGCTTTTGTCAATGGTTGGCAGCAGCATGCAGGAATTCCACCCACTCTGGTGCAAATTCTTCTCTGGAAGAGTTGGCCAAGACATTTTCAGGTTTATCTTTGTGGAAACTGAGGAGGTGATTTGGCCGGATCTTTCCAGATGTCTTCACCAGGAAAAAGCCAGTCTGATTCATCGCCTGAAACCTATCTGGTGGTTATTACGAAGGGTAGGAAAAATGCAGCATTATTTCAGAGCTCCCATAGCATCTTCTGCCACGTTTCAGGAAGGCGAAATGCTTATTAAATTATCTTGTTTCTAAGCAAAAGCAACTTTGAAGCCATGCTCGGGTCACAGCTTCCTATTTAACACTGGCTTTTTTGCTGTTCCGAGTTGTCCAACACATCACAGACCTATTTAAAAAAAAAAAAAATTAAAAACCTAATTTCTTATGAAATCTGCTCCAGAATAGAGATTATCTGGTCTGTTTAATCTTAGTGTGTTACAGTTGAATGCTTTTACCTCAGAAGTGGTAATTTCCACTCACATACCATTAGTTTTAATTATCCTGTCTTGGTTTTCATTTTCAGAGTTGCTGCCTATCAAAAGTGAGGCTAAGTGGCCATTTATTTGGGGGGATGGAGTGGGTTTGTCTTAATTTCAATCTTGCCTTCACATTGGTCTTGGTGCCAGCTGGCACAGCTGCTTTTTAGGTCAATGATGGACAGATTTCACCTTCCACATCTAGAAATTGCTGAGTCCTGCTGCTCGCTACAATGATTTTGCAGACCTTTCCTGGGGGATCAGTCCCTTGGGCTCGTACTCCCATTAGTGTGTCTTGCTGTTAGTGGTTCCCACAGCTACATCTGTCTTGAATAAATGCTAAACCCGATTTCAAAGAAGGCCACTTTGATTTGAGTTCTGTAGGGTTTTTCTCCTGGTGTCCGTGGTCTGCTCTGGGATACCTCTGCTCTCCATTCATTTCTTTGCGAGAGGCAGAATTTACGCTTCAAACCCCATGTGCCAGGCCTCCCTCCTGCATCTTCTGTTGTTAATTTTTTCATGTTTTGCCACCCAGTGTCTTGATTGTGCATTCTGGCTTCTCCTTGACAAAGTCAAGTCCCCCGCTAGAGTTAAGGACTACCTTCTGCCCTTGTCTTCTGATCCTTCACCCAGCTGCCCAAAAAGAGCATCGGAGAGCCTGCTTTGGCCATGCTAAGCTAGATACAGCTCCAGTGATTATCCTGCAAGGGCTGAGGGATGCCCTCATCTCACTAAGTGTGTTCCCTTTTGGCGCAGCTCTTCCTCTGCTGGAGGCAAATCGGTACGTAAATGAGTGCTGTGAGTTGGATGTTGAGAGTGAAAAAGGGAATGAGGATTTCCTAGTTATCTGAACTCCCTTTGAGACTGAAGCTTTTTGTTCTCTGCAAAGCATTGAGCTATAAACAGGAGGCTCCGAGCAGTGTTGTCATCTTCTTTTTCTCTCTCTTAGCCAGCTCTGCTGAAAAAGAAATGTACTGAAGCTCAATTAGAAAATCAGGAGCTCTTTCAGCACCGCGTCCCTTGGCAGGTTCCTTTCCTGCTCTTGAATCAAAGCTCTCAGTGCATATGATGATATAAACAAGAATAAAGATCTGTCACGATGAAAGTAAAATTTTCTTCTCCCCTGTAGAGTAACCACTGGAGTTTTATGTGGCAATCCGTAAAAATGGGCTCTCATTTTCCATATGGAGGAGGTCGGGTATGGCTAATCCCGTGCTAGCTGTATCTAAAGAATTCTAGGGAAATGAGCCTGGATCATGCTCTTTTAATCTCCATTAATTATTTCATTTTCATTGCAGCACAGACTTTCTGGAGCTGTTTCCTCAAGGGCCAAACAAGATTCTGAACATGTGCAAATTACAGTTTGTTTTGTTTTTTGGTTTTGTTTTGTTTTGTTTTTTTCTGTTGATTTAATGTGACTGTTCGTGATGTCCTTACCCTGGAAATGAGAAAGGTGCTAGAATTGGCAGAAGGCCAATTTGAGGCTGGAAACTTCAGCTTTAAAGTTCTCCTGTTTGGTCAACTATAAGCAATTTTAACTATGTTCTGATAAGAAATTCTAAGCTAAGTGGCATTAGCAGGAGCTGGCAGTAGTAGTTGCAGTACTTGTATGTGATCAAACACTCTTCAGTGCTGTGACTGCTGCATCCCCAAGAGATGACAAGCAGAAAATTTCACAAACTTCAAAAATCCATTACCAAAGGGCTGCTACTCGGAGCTGTTCTGTACTTGCAGACTTGCATCTGATTGAAATGTGGTGTCTTCGTATCTAATTTTGATCCTGAGCTCTTTGATTGGCATGACTTCGCTTGCAAGGAACCTAGCAGACTTGTATGTGCTCGGACTGATGCTTGCAGGTCACGGACATCCCCCGACTGGGTTAGATCTTTGCCTGAAATAGCAGAAATGCTTCCTCTGTAGTTTGCCTGTTGATGAAGCCAGGGAGCAAACTCTTGCTATGGATGAGGCTAAAACAGTTAGTGCGTCCTTTTGTTCCTGCTTTACTGGGTCACTCGAGAGGTTTGTAGTGGTTCTGGTAGCTCTGAAGTAGATTGACTGCTCCTTATCAGACTGTCAAATTACTCTGGATTAGCACTTGCAGTTGCACTTTAAACTGCTTGGCTCTGTTCATCTTCAAGACTTCAGTTCTGTGGTGATCCAGACCTGGAGGCAGTGAAAGAATGCCAAACTCTACCCACCTAGGTGATGTCCCAGTTCCTTCAGAGCTGGCAAGAGCAGTCTGAAGGTACGAGTAAAGTGCTCTACTCTCTCTCAGGGATCTTTTGACTTAGGAGACTTGCAAGAGGATTTGAACAAAATTAGTTTGGAAGGAGGCAAGTTGTAATGCCTGCTGTTTAGATCTAGCCAGGGGAGGTTACTTAGAGGTTAACACCTCCTGTGTCTTGTCTCTTGGTAATCCTGGGCAATATGTACGACCTGTCCCACTATTCACTGAGGAATTCAAACATTGTCCTCAGGACCTTGTGGACTGTCTGTGATATCTCTTGTTAGGTCTTCTGAGCACTTGTGTGAATTCTGCCATGTTATCCAGATCCTGAGCAAGCCTTAGGCTGCTACTCTTTCTCTCTAAATACAGGTGTGGAAGGCTCTTTCATCCCCACACCTTCATTATGCTTTTGAATGTATAAGCAGATTTGAAGTTCAGCCTGACCTTACTTATAAGGAAGATTCTCAAATGCTTAATATTGAAGGAATTCACTTGGAAACAATCTTCTTAAGGACAGAAGGGATTATGAAGTCCCAGCAGTGCATATGTAAAAGAAGGAAATGTGCTTTGATAGATCTTGTGGCTGGCTCTTGTGTTAATCCTCAGAGTATTTTGTGTATAGGGTTAATTCAGAATATGAGGTCTCACATCCAGAGAATGAGGCCACTAGATGACACCAAAACAGTCTATGAACAAGAATTTCTCCTGATAAACAGGGATTTACTCACTAGCTTATCCACTGAATTGATGGATTTGTCTTCTCAAAAACTTATGGTAAGAATCCTCCTTTTCTCTATGTATAAGTACTCTTGAAAGGTGAGAGTTTTCTCCCGTTTCTGGTAATCTTTTTCAAAGTAGGAGATGCTTGCAGGTTTAGTTGAAGTGAAAAGAAAACAAAGCCACCTCCCCTCAGCCCCCAAGTAGGCTCTGAAAGTTGCTGCATGCTTTCATGTCAGCCTTCCCCTCCCCACC